ACGTACCCCACAGAGCTTTTATTTTTAGCCTAGTACTTGCTTCTTTTTTAAATTGTACTTTAGGTACCCTACAGAATTTTTACCTCTCACTTTCGGCTCAGGGTTCATCCCATCCTCTAAGATGTTTACACACAAGTGCACATACATACACACAGCCCACCTGGCTAACTTGATTATCCTTGTTGAAGAATCTTTTCGTCAGGGGTAGCTGCCACCCACAGATCCCTAAAACTGTACCCGCATCTCCACTGTGTGATTGACAGACTTAGCTGTGAGACAGACAGTGAGTTCTTCTGTGACAGAAGTTACATCTCATTATGGCCTCTGGCTCAACACACTGGGGCAGAGTGGGTGTTAGATAACGCGTGTTGGGTGAACAAAAGTAGACATCATTTTTGTTTTAAGTGTTTATCCTTTTTAAAGGACAAACAAAGTTGGAAAAGCGACTTTTCAATTACACTGATTCAGCCAGTTACAAGGGAACACGGACGGGTTCCTGTGGTACAGAACCAGGAGAGAGACTTTGAGACCAGGAATGGGGAGATGGGAGTGCCTGGCTGAGTCTCCAGTAGTAGTAACAGGTGATCCTCCTTGTTTTATGGAATGTCTCAAAAAATAAAAATAAGGAACTGAAGTATTTTTACACTTACTGAGTCAGTTGAAGCAACTAGAAAATACTATTGATCTCTAAGTAAGGAATAACCCTTCTCAGAAAAATAATTAGGGCCCTTGGATTATGTCACTGCAAATGCCTTTTTCCTCCCAGAACATTCTTTCCATTTCTTTGATATTTTACTGTATGTTTTCATTTCTATAACACACACACACACACACACACACACTCTACAGTACTTCCTATTTGAGTTAATATTTCCTATAGAGTCTGTTACGACTTTGATTGAAAATTGCTTGTCTTGTTTCCCGCTGGCTATACAAGAACTAACTAGGGAGTCTGTTAGAAATTCCTATACCTAGTCTGTGTCCTCAGAGACTGGGATCCAGCAGGTCGGAAGAGGGGCCAGACATAGGCAATTAGAAAGTATTGTGACGATTCTCATAGACTGCCAGATTTGGGAACCACGGGGATGTTTTCCTGATTTCGAGAGAGAGTTTTCCTGATAGAGAGAGAGAGAGAGAGTGTGTGTGTGTGTATGTGTGTGTATGTGTGTGTGTCCACTTTAGAAGTCAACTGAAGACATAATTAGGAAGGGCTGCCTGGAAGCATAAATGAAGCAAATTGCTCTGTAATAACTGATGTGAGATGCACAGTAATGATTTGGGATGCGCCGTATGATCTGTCTGATACCTTCACTTTCTTTTAGCTTGGGTTTTAGTCCTGGAGAAGAAACAATATTTTCTCATCCCAAACAGACCAGTGTAATCATGGTTGTGTATACTGTAAGCTTCAAGTCATTATGTAACATTCTATTATTAGAACAGAATGTTACATAATGATTCTCTGATCATGTTTTGAGCAAATCACCACCTCTGATTAATAAATTCTTCTTAAGCATCTGTAAATTGAAACCAAGTAATGAAAATTCTGATCAATGTTTAGCAAGAACTGATTATTTTCAGTCTCCTGGAAAAGATCCCAATTACAGAGAATGCAGATATCCTATTTTTGGAACTGGTATGCTTATTTTAATATATGGAAAGGGTTACTTTCCATTATTATTACTTTCTTTTGTTTCCAACAAAAGAGACAAAAGGTGTCATGTCTGAATACAGTATTAATTGAAGACACAGTGGAGGGGGGATTACTAGCATTACTATGCTTTTATTTTGTAATTCTTTCAATTTAATCAATTCTCCTTCATAGATATTATTTTATAATTCCAATAGGGTTTGCACACTCTCTCTTTCTCAATCTCTCTCTCTCTCTTGCTCTCTCTCACTCTCTCGCTCTCTGTCTCTCTTTCTCTCTTTCCCAGCTTGTTCTAACAAAGTTTAAATGTGACAGTGCAAACTTAAGGAAAATTACATACTCATGGTGATATATAGGAAGTTGAATAATAGTGACGAAGTTGATTAATGGTGATTATCATTGTGAGGTTTGCTCCCTCCCTTTTTCTCTGTGACAGCTGTTTTTAAGAATCTGAAATACACAAATTTCAAAGATATCTAAAATTTTTTTTTGAGTTGGAGTTTCTCTTTTGCTGCCCAGGCTGGAATGCAGTGACACCGTCTTGGTTCACTACAGCTTCCGCTTCCTGGGTTCAAGAGATCTCCTGCCTCAGCCTCCTGAGTAGCTAGGATTACAGGCGCCCACCACCACACCCAGCTAATTCTTTTAATTTTTAGTAGAGACAGGGTTTCACTATGTTGGCCAGGCTGGTCTCTTACTCCTGACCTCAAGTGATCCATCCACCTTGGCTTCTGAAAGTGCTGGGATTACTGGTATGAGCCACTGTACCCAGCCTAAAAATCTAAAAAAAATTTAACCAACATAAGAAAGCACATCAAAAGAAAAAAGAGCCAGGCGTGGTGGCTCACACCTGTAATCCCAGCACTTTGGGAAGCCGAGGCGGGTGGATCACCTGGGCTCAGGAGCTCTAGACCAGCCTGGCAAACAGTGAAACCCCATCTCTACTAAAAATAAAAAAAATTAGCTAGACGTGGTGGCTCACACCTGTAATCCCAGATACTTGGGAAGCTCAGGCAGGAGAATCACTTGAACCAGGGATGTGGAGGTTGCAATGAGCTGAGATTGTGCCAGTGCCCTTCAGCCTGGGTGACAAAGCAAGACTCCATCCCCCCAGAAAAAACAAAAAAACAAAAAAAATCATTCCTGTAACAGACTCCTAATAAGTCAGGAGTATTTCTTTTTCTTTTCTTTTCTTTTTTTTTTTTTGTGTGTGGTATATTCAGAATGTTTACACATAAAAGTCAGGAGTATTTCTTTTTCCTTGTCTATTTATTTTTGTCCATACGTTACTTTTCCATAGTTTTAAACTTGTTATCAATACAGCGTCTTCTATTCGTGTTTCCGCGTGACCTTAGCTGCAGTGTCTTTATGTTGCTATGTGGTCTTTGCAGGTATTGCAGTCTTCCCAATATTCGTGAATATTTACGCTGCTTATAAAATTCATTGTTGCCAAAATGTGTATTTCTAGTGATAAGATTACCTGTATTGACCTTGGGTCTAGTAAATACATCATCTGAGTATGTCGACCATTTGAAAAGATAATTTCCCTGTGGAGTTGAGTTTACCAGACCTACTTAATGCTTGTGAGTGAGTGTGTCCTCTGGAAGCAGCGTGACACCTCATCCCAGGCTTGCTGGTTTTCTACTTGCTACTGTAGCTTATGAAATTTCAGTCTGGTTTTTTCATTCATGTGACCAGGAAGCCAAGAGCATAGCACTAGGATGGCGAGTGAATCGCATAGGTGGGTTCAGACTTTTGAAGGTCCTAAGCCCTGAGTAGAGGATGGTTCCTGCCTCCCCATAATTCCTTTAAAACCATATATTAGTTCAGGGAAATTCAGCAAAGTTTTGAGTTTTGCCCTGTGGCCAGCTCAATTCTTTTGTTTGTTTTGTTTTGAAATACAAAATTATTTCAAATTTATTTCGGTTTCCTTTTGGAAATGGGAGGGTCTCCTTGCTTGATTGTCCCCTAAGCAAATGTTTTCTCTTTTCTTGGGTAACTCAGCAATTGATAACAATTAATTGGGCTGGATATTCACAGAAGAACATTTGCTCTGCACCCTGAAATGTTTTTATCGCAAAGAGCAAACAAAAATGTTGTCATATGAGCTTGTAGCAGCCCACATTTTTCATACTAACTCTTACCATCATTTTATGTGACATGGGTTTCCTTAATTAATTAATTTTCTTCTGGTAACAGAGTACCAGTATAGAAAGGTGAAAAATCTGACGTAAGTGTGTTTTGAATTGAGTTGATTATGAATTCAGGGGGATTTTGAAGGAAGAATGGGGATTTTGAAGAGCAGACTGTGTAGTATTAACAAAGGCGCTCCCCTTGCAGGAAGGCCACCCAGAGGAAGGTGCCTTTGTTAGTCAGGGTGTGATTAATATTGCTTCAAAGTTTAATTTTAGAACTTCTAAAATAAGGCAGCTTGCATCAGTTCAGGCACATGGTTCGAAACCTCACAGTGCCCACTGTTTCTTTTCATTTTTAAATTACAAAAATAGCATATACATTATAAAACATTTGAAAAATAATGAAATAAAACAAGTTTCTCATTGTCTCTGCCTTGACCAAAGCCTTTGTCAATATTTTGTGGTAATTCCAGTCTTTTTTTTTTTTTTTTGAGACAGTGCTTCGCTCTTGTCACCCATGCTGGAGCTCAATGACGTAATCTCCAGTCACTGCAACCTCTGCCTCTTGGGTTCAAGTGATTCTCCAGCCTCAGCCTCCCGAGTAAATGGGATTACAGGCCGGCTAATTTTTGTATTTTTAGTAAGAGACGGGGTTTCACCATGTTGGCCAGACTGGTCTCAAACTCTGACTTCAGGTGATCTGCCTGCCTCAGATTCCAAAGTGCTGGGATTTCAGGTGTGAGCCACCACACCTGGTCCCAGTCTTCCTTTCTTATGTACTTAAAAACAAAAATTGTCATCGTGTTTTGTGTATAACTTGAATGACTTATTTCACTTAACATGATTTCATATGCTTGTTTTCTACATTTAATTTCCATGCCAGTTGTAATTTATGCAGAATGCCACCCTTGTGATACTCCATAATTTTCCTAATTATAGTCCCCATTATTGGGCATGTAAAATTCTTGATGGTCAGTTCTGTGCACAGTGGTAATTACCCATACTATCTTAATTCTGCTCACGTGGGTCACAAAGGCGACCTAATCCTGCCGTAACTTGCCTTTCTCTACCAGGTATTGTACTTGGAAAGAAAAAAAAGGAATTCCTTTCTACCTGTTTTCTTTTTGTTTCTGTTTGTTTTGTGGGATGTAGGGCCAAGGAAGGGAGCTGGTTACAATTCACTCCTCAGGTGAGCATTTTTGTCTGTCTGTCTTTAGTGGTGAAAGCGGTGCTGGAAAAACAGTGGCTGCCAAGTATATCATGAGCTACATCTCCAGAGTGTCTGGAGGAGGCCCCAAAGTCCAGGTGAGTGGGTGCTGGCCCATTATGGTACCTTATACTATGGGAAATGTAAGAGGCTCCAGTTGCTGTTAGAAAACAGTTTTTCTTCCACAGAAAAGACGTTGATTCTATAACTGTGAAACTTGAAATCTGCAAAGGAATGACATGTTTTAAAATAGGTGTGTGCCTAATACTCGATGAATTCCTATAAATCAGTAAAAAGGTCAGCAGCCCAAAAGGAAGATAAACAAAGGACATGAAAGATAAGTCATAGAAAAGGAAATACAAATTACTCACAAAACACAGAAGTATGTTCACCATCATGATAACAAAAATGCACATTAAAACTAGATTAGAAAACTAATTTTTGCCTAGATTAGCAAAAATCTTACCATATTTTAATCACTTGATCAGAAGGGAGTAGCGACAGTTTTTCTCATACATTGCTGGTAGGACGTGAACTAGTACACTTTAATGAAGGACATTTCAACAAAAGCTGTCGAACTTAAACATAACATGCCGCATGAGTCGGCATTTCTGCTTAAGAGAATTTATTCTTTAGATATGTTGAAATGAATACAAAATAATGCATATGAAGTTATTTGTAGCAATTTCGGTAATGCAAAGACTGCAAAACAGTGTTCATCACTAGGCATCTGGTTAAATAGTGGTTTGTCATATAATAGAATATTATACAGCAATAAAAATGAAGCTTCATGTACTGATAGAGAATGGTCTTCAAGATACATCATGAATGACAAAAATCGAGGTTCAGAACATTGTGTGTAATATATGCTGCCATTTAAGGGACCAAAAGAGAGTGTGTATTTGTATTTGTTTGGATATATATCGCATATCCCTAGAAGTATACATAAGAAACCGTCGGCAGTGGGTGTCTTGGGCAGGGCGGGGCTGGGAGACGGGGAGAAGGGACTCGTGTTCCTGTATACACTTTAGAAAGTTGGATGGTTTGAATGACGTGAACCAGCTGCCAGTTCAAGAAACTTACAAAAATGTTGAAGGGCAGAGACAGAGAAAGAGGACACAGGGAAGGAAAAAAGAAAGACTAAAGAGTATAAAGGAAATGTTAGGAAAGAGAAAAGACCCAGAGAATGAGGATACTCGAGGTGAAAATTAAAATCAACACTGGCAGGAATGAGGAAAACCTGTTCCCGAGAGAGCACGCCATGGCTGACGGTGATGGTGAGCTGAGGTCCATAAGGGGCACCCCACACTCAGGGTTCATCACCGGTATGCACCGCTGGTGACAGAATTCATTCCAAAGATTAGTTTTTAAAATCAGAATTATTTAATGTTATTCCCATGATTGGCTCTAGACTTTTAAAAGATACATAAAATTGGCCAGGCATGGTGGCTCATGCCTGTAATCCAGCGCTTTGGGGGGTAAGGGGGACAGATCACAAGGTTAGGAGATTGAGGCCATCCTGGCCAATATGGCGAATCCCCATCTCTAGAAAATACAGAAAAGTAGCCAGGCATGGTGGCATGTGCTCGGAAGGTTGAGACAGGAGAATTGCTTGAACCCAGGAGACGGACGTTGCAGTGAACCAAGATCGTGCCACTGTACTCCAGCCTGGTGACAAAGCAAGACTCGGTCAAAAAAAAAAAAAAAAAAAAAAAAACACACACAAAATTACCTTATTGTGGTTTTTTTGAGATGGGCTCTCATTCTGTCATGCAGGCCGAAATGCAATGGCGAGATCTTGGCTCACTGCAGCCTCCTCCTCCTCCTCAGCTTAGGTGATCCTCCCACCTCAACCTCACAAATAGCTGGAACCCCAGGGGCACGCCACCATGCCTGGCTAATTTTTTGTATTTTTGGTAGAGACAGTGTTTTAACCACATTGCCCAGGCTCGTCTCAAACTCCCGAGCTCAAGCGATCCACCCTCCTAGGCTTCCCAAAGTGTTGGGATTACGACCATGAACACCGTGTCTGGCCCCTATCTATTAATTAAGTAGTGTTCTGTCCTGTACTGGGAGATGAGAAAGCTTAAGGCAGAGCCAAACATTTCTCCTGTGAATTTCTGGATCTTTCCGTCTTTTGTTTGCTGGCCAGACGTACCTGTACCATTTAACTATAGCTGCTTTTTTTTTTTTTGAGACAGAGTTTCGCTCTAGTTACCCAGGCTGGAGTGCAATGGCGCGATCTCGGCTCACCGCAACCTCCGCCTCCTGGGTTCAGGCAATTCTCCTGCCTCAGCCTCCCGAGTAGCTGGGATTACAGGCACGCGCCACCATGCCCAACTAATTTTTTGTATTTTGAGTAGAGACGGGGTTTCACCTTGTTGACCGGGATGGTCTCGATCTCTTGACCTCGTGATCCACCCGCCTTGGCCTCCCAAAGTGCTGGGATTACAGGCTTGAGCCACCGCGCCCGGCCAACAACTATAGCTTCTTTCAGGGAGAGAACAAAAGCCAGAATCTGCTTCTATCTCTTCCCTTCTTTAATTACAGGCTTTAAAACTGAGAGTATTTATGTAGCCATCCCATCCATCCATACATCCCTATCCATGCACTATCGATTAGTGGTATCCAACAGAATTTTGTGGTATATGGTGAACATAGCAGAAGAAAAAGAGAAAGAGCAAGCCAAGGTTGCAGAGTGAAGGGTTCTTAAAGTGGCCTCTTGCTCTGAATGAAAGGAAGATGGACAGCAGCTCTGACCAGTAGAAAGGTGAAGCAAGCCATCTATGTAATTCTAAATCTTCTAGTAGCCAAGTTAAAAGAAGTAAAAAGAAGAAAAGGAAATAACTCTGTAAAATAATATTATTTAACCCAGTATATAAAAAAAAATGACCATTTTATTATGTAATCAATATAACAAAATTAATGAGATACTTTATATCTTTTTGGTACTAAGTCTTTGAGATCCAGTGTGTATTCTACACTTACGTATCATTTGGGGTAGCCACAGCCACCCGTGACTTACGGCTTTTGTACTGGACGGTCAGGGCAGCTCTGGAACATAGGTTCATGAGGTTTAGTCCATTTGCTTTTCTCCATTTCTGTGGTTCTTCCAGACCTTGAGAGGGTTGACATGGAGACAAGAATCCAGGATGCTGTTTTGCAGATGGGCTACACTTTGTTTTTTAAATTCATTTATTTTTTTGAGACGGGAGTCTTGCTTTGTTGCCAAGCCGGAGTACAGTGGCGTGATCTCAGCTCACTGCAACTTTCACCTCCCTAGTTCAAGCGATTCTCCTACCTCAACCTCCCCAGTAGCTGGAACTACGGGTGTGTGCCACCACGCCCGGCTAATTTTTGTATTTTTGTAGAGACAGTATTTCACTATGTTGGCCAGGATGGTCTCAATCTCTTGACATTTAGGATCTGCCTGCCTCGGCCTCCCAAAGTGCTAGGATTACAGGCATGAGCCACCATGGCCGGCTGATGGGCTGCCCTTTTACCTAAGTTTGCTCTTTCTCTTTTCCCTGATATGCCTGCCACATGGCACAAAATTCTGTTGAACATTACTGCTCATTGATGAATACACGTGGATGGATGGATGGATGCATGAATGGATGGATGGGTTGATGGATACATAAAGATTCCCATTTTTAAAGTCCACAATTTAAAAAGAGAAAAGACAGAAGATGATTCTGTCTTTTGTTCTCTTCCTGAGAGAAGCTGAGTGTGATTAAATGGTATAGGTATATCTGGCCAGCAAAAAAAAAAGAAAGTTAATGAAGATCCACAAATTCAAAATCAATTTTACAAAGAAAAGCAAAGTTTATATCATTCCATGGGTTTCTTAAAGAAAGTAGGCAGCTTGGAAATATGTTTCTAAGGTTTGAAACTGACCCACAAAAGGATTACCCAGAATTGCCCTTGGTGCCATTGCTGAGGATGATTCCCTAGTCACAAGGAAAGGCCAGTTCTCGTTTCTCATGGCAGTTTCTCTTCTGAATGTTGAGAAGGTGCCGGAAGAACACGTTGGCTGCCACATCGTCAGTCGGTAGTTAGCGCCTTCATTTACTTCTCCCTGCTGCACCCCCATGACCTAGCAGCCAGACTGCAGACAGTTAATGTTGACTTTTCTCTTCCTGTTTTCCTATGAGGACAATGACACAGAGCCCTTGGCTTGAAATTAGTCAGTAGCTAAAGAGCACACGCCAGAAGACTTGTTATTTCTGGAACATGCTTGCCCATAGCATGTGAATAATTAGAAGTACAAGGAATGACTCACTTGGTGAAAGGCTTCTCCAACATCAAGTTCTGCCTGTTGAGCAGTCTCATGTCTGCGGTGTGTTTTGCACACTTCAGTAGAACGGGGATGTTTGAAAAACAAATCCTTCCTGTCTAGTAGGCCAGGACTTGTTCCACTGAATCTGCTGCTGAACCTTGCCGCTCAAAGTGTGTATCATTGCTGGCAAAACCCGCAGCACCAGGGAGCTGGCTACAAACGCAGACTCGTGGGCCCTACCCCAACCTACTGAGTCCACATCTGCATTTTGAGAGGATCCCCAGGTCATTCGTGCATTTTAAAGATTGAGAGCTGGGCGCGGTGGCTCACGCCTGTAATCCCAGCACTTTGGGAGGCCGAGGCGGGTGGATCACGAGGTCAAGAGATCGAGACCATCGTGGTCAACATGGTGAAACCCCGTCTCTACTAAAAATACAAAAATTAGCTGGGCACGGTGGCGCGTGCTTGTAGTCCCAGCTACTCAGGAGGCTGAGGCAGGAGAATTGCTTGAACCCAGGAGGTGGAGGTTGTGGTGAGCCAAGATCGCGCCATTGCACTCCAGCCTGGGTAACAAGAGTGAAACTCCGTCTCAAAAAAAAAAAAGATTGAGAAACACCAGGCTGTATTTGCATAACCTTGTTTGGGGAGAAGAAGTGGATTAATTTTCCTTAAGATAACTTGCAGTGGAGCAGGTGGAGGTGGGGTGAGATGTGTTGGTAGAGCAGGTGGGAAGGGGCAGTGAGAATACAGACCCTGGCCGGGCAGCAGGGAGACAGCCGTTCGTCTGCTGTTTTCCTCTCTTTCCTGCTTTGACACCTGGCACACCCACAAGTGCAAGGTGAACTGCAGCAACCGATTTGGAAACCCAAGCTGAGAACGTTTGTATGAACTGCTCCTGGCTCTCGGGGACCCTTCGTCAAGCCACGGGAATTGGAAGACCCAAATACACAAACAGGTTGTGGTCTGCCGCGGTGGAAGAATAAATCCTCCAGAAACCCCACATGGCTGTGGGGCCCCTCACCCTAATGCATTCAGACACCAGGTCTTTAGAGAAAGTTTGGCTTACACTGCATGGCAGGCGTTCACGCCTTCCTAACCTCCGCTCTGTCTGCTGGGACAGCACGTGAAGGACATCATCCTGCAGTCCAACCCGCTGCTGGAGGCCTTTGGGAACGCCAAGACCGTGCGGAACAACAACTCCAGCCGATTTGTAAGTCTCTTCCCTGCTTCCGAGAGTGTCACTTGATTGATGATGTTGCTGTCCCTGACTGAAGTCCAGTATCCCACGGGAAATGGGGGCTTTTCACAGGCCATCCGGGGCCACCCCTTTAGTCTTTCCTTCATTCTCTTGAGCAGCATGCTGCCAAGCTGCCGTTTGCCCTTTTTTTTGCGCCTCGGGGATACAAACAAGGTAATGTTGAAAATCGTTTTCCCCTTGAGTCGCCTTATTAAGGAAAATAAATGATGAAAGTGGCAGCTTTGGCCTTGGAGACAAGACCTTCTTTCCTAGACATAGAAGTAACTAGAGGAGATGGATGTCCCAGGTATCGTTTCCCACTGGCAATGGTTTCACTTCTTAGAACTTGGTCCGTAGACTCTGAAGGGTGCAGAGAGGTGGACTGATCTGGCGCCTTGGAGAGAAACTTCCTCCCCTCTGTCCCTCAGAGCGACCCGCCCGCCCACTCCAGCCCTCCGGCTCTGTGCATCTGTCTCATGCCTACTCATACAACCTAACGACATCCAAAAGTGCCTGACCTAGGCCCACAGGTTGCCTTCTCACTGGCCTACCTAACTGTTGATGAAAATGTCAACCAAATGCATTGCTGTGAATGCTCATTTAGTCGTATTTCTGTCTGGCTGTCTCCAGAGGGGGTAGATATATAGGAAAGCTGGCAAGGATCAGTATGAATATGTTGCCCCTGACAAAAGCCACATTCACAAAAACAAATGTTTACCCAGTAACCTTGATTCATGTAGATTTTGCATCTTTTTCAACCAGAGACCGTGTCTGGCACTAAAGCCATCACAGAGCCATCTGTGAGGCTGATTCTGGAACATTTTTAAATAAATAAGTAGGAATTTTGGAGAAAAACAATTTTCTTTTCCACTGTCTATTTTGGAAGGAAGGTTCTATTTCCAAGAGAATTTTTACTATGTGCTCACATGATCATTGTCAAGTTCCCTGGTGGGTTCTGTCTGTCAGACTTGCCCTTACTTTCCTTGCTTTCTAATTCTATTCAAACTACTCATTTGTTTTGTCTCTCATATTGTTGGGCCCAATGCCTGAGTTGTGTCATCTTGAAGAAATTTTCCAGATAATAAAATAGGAAAGAAGATTTAAACGGATTTTCCACTTGAACCTTTTTCTTAATTTTTCAATCTAAATCTGCCTTGTAAAAATAGGCTTGACCAAATTCCACTCTTTATTTACCTTCCCCCTTTCTTGGAGTCCTCGGAGACCAGAAAAAAATAATTAAGTTGACAATTTCATTGATTTATACAATATAAATTGTTCATTGCATTTGAAGGATTCATCAGTCAATTTCTGTAAATAACAAAAACGAACACTCAACATTTTCTTATTTTTCTAATTGCAAAATTTTATACAACCCTGATGGAAAGATGGGAAGAGACATTTCAGACACATATACGCACATGTGCGTGCGCACACACATACACACTCACTATTCACCATCATGGATGAGAGAAATGTAAATTAAAACCACATATCATTTTCTCTCTCTCAGATGGGCAAACATTAAGGTGATTCATAACAATGGAGAAAACACACTATTGGTTGAAAACTGACGCATTCTCCCAGGAGAGTGACTGGGCAATTGTTATTAAAATTTTAATCATTCATTATCTTTGCCCAGCAATTAGTTTAGAATAAATTACGTAAGTTTCCTACCAAATAACTACTTATTTTAAAAGATACTCATAATGTTAAATTAAGAAAAACAGATTACAGAACAGTATCTTCAATATTTTCCTGTTTTCATTTTTAAAATATGCACATTTTATAAAATGTAACTAAGGGGTATGTAAATCAAATTTTGATATCTGTGACAGGAATTATTTAGCAAGAGAAAGAAGAAATGGCTTCAGGGTAGAATTATGGGTAATTTCACTTTTAAAAATGGACAGGTGTTATGAAGCATAAGAATATATATATTTAACACATAAATCTATTCAAATTAAAGAATGTATTAAGTATTTCAAACATGATTTAAAAATAATACAATGAGCATCTATGTGTCCAGTACCCAGCTTAAGAAATACATCAATACCAAGAGTTGACTTGAAACTTCTTTTCCTTTTATTATCAAAATGCAAAAGCAACATTTTATTTCCTTTATAAAATTTCCTCTTTCCCCCCAGGCTGCTATACAGCAGTCCTAAATATGTTGAACTTTGGTTAGAAATTTTAACTTTTATATGACAATTTTGAGCCATGCATATGCATTTTATTATATTAGAGCAGTGGTTTCAAGCTTCATCACACACAAAGATCAGCTGGACACTTTGTGAAGACATACAGCTCTGGGCCCTGGTCCTGGAGAGTCTGATGTGTGTGGTCTGGGCTAACAGCAGGCACCAGCATGTTGGAAAGGCTCCGCAGGTGTTTCTAAGGGGCAGCCAAGGCTGAGCACCGCTGCTAGGAGGACGTGGGAGCGTGCTCTGTCCACCGCTGACCTAGGAAGGTCAGGTGTTCTGCCTGGTTTCATTTTCCCTCAGCTGAGGAGTGGGGACAGGCAGTGAAATGTTGCCTCTCTTACATGCCGAAAGCAAAGGGTGGTGAAGGTGATGAAGCTCTTGTTGAGTGAGCTTTTCTCCGGTGTCAGTGACATTCCGCAGAGCGATGACTGGTGGTCCTCTGTGCCTGGCGCTGCTGGGTGTTTTTGTTTTTCCCCGGGAGGAAGAGGGTCATCAGATTAAGACACACAGACAGAGGCTGGCCTTCTTTGGTGGTCTTTCTTGACACTAAGTAGTTAAGAACAGGAACACAGCATGTATTCATTTGCATAGTGTACACAGTACTTTTCTTGCCCTTACCAAGTTTACAGCTCCAGTCGTAGACCAACCCAGGTGAATTTATCCCTGAGGTGGGTGGACTTAGTCAGCATACGCATTTCTATGATATTAAGTGTGAATGCGGGGAGGCTGGGCATCCTTTCCAGTATGGTTGTAGAGCTAACTGCTCCCTCTTTACCTTTATTTGTATTTACCCTTCTGGACTCTGAGGGTGCCTAAATTTCTGAGGATGGGAGAGAAATTAAGTTCTAGTGAGAAAAAAAAAATAATACACACACACACACACACACACATTTGATCATTGTTATGATAATTATATATATATATAATATTTTTTATTTATTTTGTTTTTTGGCCAGAGTCTCGCTCCATGGCCCAGGCTGGAGTGCAGTGGTATGATCTCAGCTCACTGCACCCTCCACCTCCTGGGTTCAAGCGATTCTCCTGCCTCAGCCTCCTGGGAGTAGCTGGGACTACAAGCACTTGCTACCAGGCCTAGCTAATTTTTTGTATTATTAGCAGAGATTGGGTTTCACCATGTTGGCCAGGCTGGTCTCAAACTCCTGACCTCCAGTGATCTACCCGCCTCGGCTTCCCAAAGTGCTGGGATTACAGGCATGAACCACCGCTCCTGGCTGTAAATAATTAATATAACAACCTGGATACCTTTTCAACGAAAGTCTAGGTTTTTCTTCTCTTTTGTTCCCTATCAGCAGCCATTTAAAGAGGAGTTTTTGTAAGAAGGACAGTGACAAAACTCCCTAGGCCCATGAGTGGCTGGAAAGAGCTTTACTTTTAATAAAGTGTTTTCATTTTAGATAAGCATTTTAGATGCTCTGTAGGTAGGAGGGATTGAATATTTTTGCTCAGAGCCGTGAGATGAAGTCTGACGGAAAGAGTGCTCTTCTTCTGAAAGGGTGCCATGCTGTTTTTCTGCCTTATTTTTTCCAGTTGAGCAGGCAGTCAACTAGTGGGGGAAATGAGCAGAGAATAGAGCAGATCCTTATTTAGTCATGCTGCAGCGGCAGGTGCTGTCATAACAGAATCGTGTGGCTGGACAACAGCACGGTTATTGTCTGATTGAAAATGGTGAGGAAGTCTAGACTCGAATCAGGTGTCACTCAGAATGTGTCTTCTATTAATGAGTTTCCTTGAATTATATGCTGGATTCAAAGGGTGTTTGGGATATCGTGTTTTGTTCAACAACCATTCAAGGAAATCTCTAACTTTCTTGCAGGGAAAATACTTTGAAATCCAGTTCAGTCCAGGTGGGGAACCAGATGGTGGAAAGATCTCCAACTTCCTTCTGGAAAAATCTAGGGTGGTGATGAGGAACCCAGGAGAGCGGAGTTTTCACATATTTTACCAGGTTTTTATTTCTACTTTCCTACCCACTTCCTCTATATCTACATGAAAATATTCCTCGGACTTCAGGCAGAGACCGTAGTCTGGCAAGCCAGGAAGGACTGATGGCACAAGTCAGTGTGCAGAATGAGTTCTAACTGGAGTGACAAGATGGAAATTCCCCAAGAGCTAAATCATCGAGAAAGTGCTGATGTAACTTCAAAACAAAATGAGCAGTGTTTGAGTCTTACCAAAGGAATTCACGTGGGTGGCTGTGGGTGGGTTTGGCTGGGTGGTAGGAGAGGTGTGGAGGAGGGGCGTTTTCAGGGAAGACAGGTACCCTGCACCAAAGCGGTGGAGGTGGGAGAGGCCAGTCAGGGAGCCGGGCCTCAGCCTGTGTCCCAGGCAGGGATCTCCAGAACGTGAGCTATTGGAGGAAAGTTTGTTTGTTTGTTTGTTTGTTTTTTGAGACAGAGTTTCGCTCTTGTTACCCAGGCTGGAGTGCAATGGCGCGATCGCGGCTCACCGCAACCTCTGCCTCCTGGGTTCAGGTTGCCTCAGCCTCCTGAGTAGTTGGGATTACAGACATGTGCCACCATGCCCCGCTAATTTTTTGATTTTTAGTAGAGACGGGGTTTCACCATGTTGACCAGGATGGTCTCGATCTCTTGACCTCGTGATCCACCTGCCTCGGCCTCCCAAAGTGCTGGGATTACAGGCTTGAGCCATCGCACCCGGCTGGAGGAAAGATTTGAGATAGGTTTGGGATCTTTAATGCCAAGTTCAAAAGTTTTCACATAGACCCTCAGAAGTCATGGAGAGCCTGGGACCAGAGCAGGTGCAGGGTGCTTTTCAGTTGTGTTCAAGGCTTCAGCACTTGTCTGAGTCAGCTACTTTTATTTTATTTTTATTTGAGACAGGGTCTTACTCTGTCACCCAGGCTGGAGTGCAGTGGCACAATCTTGCCTCACTGCAGCCTCTGCATCCTGGGCTCAAATGATCCTCCTGCCTCAGCGTCCCAAGTAGCTGGGACTGTAAGCACACCTGGCTAAGTTTTATATTTTTCGTAGAGGCAGAATTTCACCGTGTTTCCCAGGCTGTTCTTGAACTCTTAAAGTCAAGTGACCCACCCACCTCAGCCTCCCAAAGTACTGGGATTTCAGGCATGAGCTACCATGCCTGACCCTGATTCAGCTACTTTTGTACAAGGTCTTTAAGTACTTAAAAAATATATTGATGTTGATAACCACATTTTTTGTGTTCTGTGTAGTGTTTTTGGTATTGAGGATCCACTTTAGACGTTCTTTGAAGAAAGGCCTGGTCACCGATTTCTGTTCTGCTTTGTTTCATGTTTAGCTTCAGGATCACTGGATTAGAAGGACATTAAACTGTGGGGTAGCTCCCATTCAGTCTTTCCAGTTACACACACATCTGAGGTGATGCCAAATACTTCTTTTAGTTGGTATCTGTTGATTGAAAACATATGTAAATGACCAAAACTTCTGTGAATTCAGTGATTTTTAAAACTGTATTAATGAAAGCAACATGTATAGATAAGTGAAAAGTAATTATTTATTTCACATACATAATATTGAGTGCTAGATGGAAGTGGATGACGGATGTCAGGACTCCTTTAAATAAATGCAAACACCAGCCCTCCTCCAGGGAGTCCTCTGCCCTTAGATCAGAAAGCACCAGACCAGAGGCTAGAAATTGAGGGGCTCCGGGGTTCAAGATTCTGACGTGAAAGTAATTCTTGAAGCTACAAAATACATGAGATTCCCGTGGGAGTGAATGTGGGGAGAAAATCATGCCACACGGGACTAGGGGACTTTGTGGATGTGTAGGATGGGGAGGCCCTGAAGAGCCAGCAAAGCCACCAGGGAAGTAATGAGGAAAGCCAGGGTCCTGCAGTGTCCCCAAACCCAGGGAGCCTCAGGGGAACAGCAGCAAGATCACATGCTCAGGGCTCTTGGGGGAAAAGGGGTGAGCTGGAGTGTGGGGTCCAAGAAAAAGGCTGTTGGATTTAGGCACGCGAAAGTAGCCACACAGAAGGGTTCCATCAGAGTGGTGAGGGAGGAGCCGGGATGCAGGTGGTTATGTCCTGACGAGGGAGTAGATTCTACAGCTGGGGGAAGTGCAGAGTCAAGGAAAAGCTTCCAAACAGGCAAAGAAGAGCGTGTTTGTAGATGAAGGGAGATTTGAAGATGCAAGTTAGAGGCAGTATATAGTATGTGGGTGGGGAGAGGACCAAAAAGAAGAGAGGCACAAAAGGAAGGGATGGCACTAAAAGATGTTCGGGAGATAGGCCGGGAAACGAAGGGAACCTGGTATCGTGGGGGGACCTAGAGCTGCTCAGTGATGGAGATGAGGCCCCTGTGGGGGAGGGGAGCCAGCTCCGTGATGGAGATGAGGCCCCCGTGGGGGAGGGGAGCCAGTTCAGTGATGGAGATGAGGCCCCCGTGGAGTGGGGAGCCAGGGCGGCCTTGTGCAACTTGCTGAAGGCGGGGAAGCATGGAGGGGAACTGTCTCTATTTTCCTGAAGGTTGCTGGGTTAGAGCCAGGGTGTGCTGGAGCCGGCTCGTGTGGGCAAGGCACATCCCTTCCCTCTTCCTTCTGTGAGATATCTTTGGTGGTTTGAAATCAGTCATGGTGGGTGTGTTTATACCACGAATATTGGCCAGCACTACAAATCAGTTTTTTTCCTCAGGGGTTGATTGGTTAAACATTTTCTAGCTCACACTGCTTAAAGCCCAGTAAGAGGGTCTTGCCCCGCCTAAGGCAGACATCAGAGCTCGAACAAAAAGCCAAGGAGTTGGGCGTGGTGACTCATGCCTGTGTAATCTCAGCACTTTGGGAGACTGAGGTGGGAGAATTGCTTCAGCCCAGGAATTTGAAAGCAACCTGGGCAACGTAGTGAGACCCTGTCTGTACAGAAAGTTGAAAAGTTAACGGGACGTGGTGATGCATACCAGTGACTCCAGCTCCTGAAGGCACTGAAGTGAAGGAATTGCTAGAGCCTGGGAGATCAAGGCTGCAGTGAGCCAAGATTGGGTCACTACCTTCCACCTTGCATGACAGAGCAAGACCCTGTCTGTAAAAAATAACAAGGGACAGTCATTGATCAAGAGGTTTCAGAATACTCCCGAGAGTGAGCAGCCACACCCCTCTTTTCTAATCTGCACCCTGTAGTGAGAAGCATGGAAAAGCAGCTCGACTTTAAAAAGCTATAGCAAGTTGGGCAGGAACTAGGTAATTATAATCTGCTTTGCTTTCCACTCTTCCAAGGGTGGCAGTCCAGTTCCTTTCAGTGGACAAAGGAAAAGTCCTCAGCTCGTGCAAGTCTTTGCAGAGTTAGGAGCCAAAATTTGCAGAGGTGACTTGGGGCTACAGCAAGTACATATTTGGGAGCCAAGACTGCCTGTAATTTTAGAAAGCATACATGGAAAGACCTCATCACTGGACTTGGGGGTGGCGTCTGCAGGATGCATGAGGTGACCTTGGGTGTCCTGTGGTCCATACCACGGCTCAACCCATGTTCTTTTACTCCAGCTCATCGAGGGCGCCTCTGCAGAGCAGAAGCACAGCCTTGGCATCACCAGCATGGACTATTATTACTACCTGAGCCTCTCGGGCTCATACAAGGTTGATGACATTGACGACAGGCGGGAGTTTCAGGAAACTCTGGTAAGTGCCGGCCCAGAGCCAGGCAGGACCTCTCTCCCAACTGGGCATTTCCTGTGGTGGAAAGGGCGGTGAACGTTCATAAGGCAAGGAGCTGCATGCAGTGTCCCCCTTGTTCTCTGTGAGCACTTTGTATGCTCATACATGTTTCAGTGCCCTTAAATAACCATGTGCCAGTTGCCTGAGGACGACTTAAAAAGAAATGAATTCGGCCGGGCGCGGTGGCTCACGCCTGTAATCCCAGCACTTTGGGAGGCGAAGGCGGGTGGATCACGAGGTCAAGAGATCGAGACCATCCTGGTCAACATGGTGAAACCCCGTCTCTACTAAAGATACAAAAAATTAGCTGGGCATGGTGGCGCGTGCCTGTAATCCCAGCTACTCGGGAGGCTGAGGCAGGAGAATTGCTTGAACCCAGGAGGAGGAGGTTGCGGTGAGCCGAGATCGCGCCATTGCACTCCAGCCTGGGTAACAAGAGCAAAACTCCGTCTCAAAAAAAAGAAAAGAAAAGAAATGAATTCATCATTATTCCCTTGCAGGAGCTCTGATAAACAGGCAGAAATGATTCCTATGTTGAGCATACTCTGTCTGCTGATGGTCTACTCAGTTCGTGAGCTGCTTCCTCAGAGAGGCAAAGCAAACGGCGCGTTTATGGACTTATTTAGCTTTAGAAATTTGCGACCATCTTTAGTCTTTTCTCTGATCATTTCTTTTCTGCTTTCGAAGACTTTCTCTTCCTCTCTGTATTGCACCAAGCAGAGGACTCTTTCTGTGCCATGCCCCTCCCATTGCCTGTCTGTTATGTCCCTAACTGTGAAACTAGGTAGATTACGGAGGGGTTCTATCCTGAGGGCAGGAACTAAAATGAGTCAGTCTAGAAGGTTTCGGAGACCGGCTGAACACCCACTTAGCCTCATAGGGCTTCATTACCACTACGCTTTGAGTCGGTTCCAAGCTGGGAACGAGTCCTCAGCCCAGATCTAGAACTGAGCGGTAGACCCTGAATGAGCAGTGTGGGTTCAGTACATATGTGCTTGAAACAGATATAAAGTTCAGACAGACTGTGTCCTGGGCACCAGGAAACAAAATGATGTCAACAGGTCATATGGCCACAAAGCAGCTGGGAGAAAAAGTGCCGATAAGGAGTCTGCACACGGGTCCTAGGGTATAGTTCTCCCAGGAGATGGTTCTCTAAGATTTAGACATTTTAGTGGTATTTATTGCATTTAAGGGACCTCAGAAACTAGACTTCTACATGATGCTTTTATTGGATTTCCTGGAGATTTTTCATTAAGATCTTTTTGCAATTACAATATATTCTTAGCCCTCCTGGTGAAGGGAAAGATCTCTGGAGTCCATTGTGAGTAAGTGGAAAGGTCAGCAGTGACCTGCGAGGGGAAGCTGGCAACAAGAACACGTCAAATGAGAAAGACAGGACTTGGAGACTCAGTGCACAACCACCGCTCCTCGGAGCGTCTTTCCTCCTGAGTGTTCCCTTACTTCTGGGGGATGGCATGCTGTGCTTAGAGACAAAACTGCCCTTCCAGCATGACTTTACAACTTGAGGAGAACGTGTGCACCGGGCAGGGGTCACGGAGAAGAACGTCCCACTGTCGCCATCAGCTAAGCCACGTGTGACTGCACGACCCAGCCTATGCTTTCGCTTTGTCTTTCTCTTGCTAACTTGTCTGTACTTGCTACACCCTTATTTAGGGCAGCTGCTCTGCTCTGGCTTCTTCCTTATGTGCTTGTAAAGCTGGTGACCAGCTTCTCTGGATCGTCTCTCTTTTCTCTTGCAGCACGCCATGAATGTGATTGGGATCTTTGCAGAAGAGCAGATGCTGGTGTTGCAGATAGTGGCAGGAATTCTCCACCTGGGAAATATCAGCTTCAAAGAAGTCGGCAACTACGCGGCTGTGGAGAGTGAAGAGTGTGCGTAGCCCTGGCACGTGGCCATCAAACGAGGGGGGCGGCTAGCTGCGATTAGAAGTAACCCAGCTCTTTCCTCTCCTTATCTCATTGGGAATATTGGGAAGAAGTGAGAAATCTCCATGCTCTCTGTGGCAGAACAGAATGGCTTCACAAGAGACCAGACCTCTTCAATGCACCTGCCCCTCTCTTTATCTGTCCCCAGCCTTTCCAAGTCCCACACCATCCACGATTAATTGTTTCAGTTGATGGTTAACCCAGGGAGAGCTGGGAGGATTTCACATCTAGGTTTAAAGATAAAGTAATCTCTTTAATGAGGATTAGAGTAATGCTTAATAATGCAAAAGATTTAGTCTCTTTATGAAAAGCTTTTCAGTAACTGGTCTTAAAGATCTAAATTCGCCTCAAGGTTTTAAAGAGCAAGTAAGCAATATAAAACCTGTAAATATGGGAAGCTCACAACTTCACAGTTTGTTTCCCAGGTCGGATTAGATTGGATTTCTGAACACAGGAAAGACGGACATTGACTATTGTGTTTACATTTCTCACGATCACCTTGAATGATCACATCTGTATCGTTGGAGCCTCTACACCTAAATGATCATTCTTCCTCTTTGAGAGAAAAATCAGGTTCTTCCTATAGAGAGATGCTGTTGGTTACATGTGCCCGAAATGTACCGTAAATACTGTGGCACATGACCAGCCTCTGAGACATCAGCCGCTTGCAGACTGCTCTCAACCCACACATCCTTTAGCCACCCGGGGAGACATTCTTCCCTTCTCAGCATTCTTTAGGAATGATAAATTTAGATGCTTAGTAATAAATAGTATCCCACTCATTGCTGACAATGCAATGGGGATGTTTCCATTCCAAATAAGGTTCTTTTTTTATTGTTTTTGTTTTCTTTTCTGATCAAAGAGGGAAGTTCTGCTAACTTCTGATGTCTGTCTCATAAAGAAAAAGATGAATTATGTTTACCAGGGAAGGGGGCAGAAAACTATAAATATTCAGGGTGTCCATCAAGTCTAAAAATGTGACCTGACCATCATGATACTGATAACTTTGTTTCTAAACTTTGCTACATTGTCCTTGAAGTTTCACGCATGCGCCTGTGTTTCCAGTAAGATGAGGAACGCTTGGCCTCTCAGTGTAACAGTGTTGCTCTGGTTGTAGTTTCTGTTGAAGTAGACTGGATTTCTTTTGCCTTCTTGGGATACTAAAATAATTTACTGCCTCTTTATGCTTGAAAACAAAATCATGACACTGAAACAGCAAACAGTTCCCTAGATGTTTGAACCAAATGTCGTGTTGCACATCGACGTCCAGAGTCCGTAGTCTTGTCAGCCAGATGGGTAAGGCCCAGCACTGGCGACTGCCCATGAAATTCCTTGCCTAGAGATGCTGGAGGCATGGAGATCGGAAAAGGCTGAGACAGAAGCCGGAGAGGTCTAGGAAATGGGCCTCCCTCCCAAGAATCTCCTTTGATTGGGGGTTTCGTTTATTTGGTAATACATTAACATGGCTCCGGGGGTATGCAGTGAAAGTTCTCCCTTCTCTACCTTTTCTAGTTCACTTGTTACCCTTGTCAGAGGTAACCAAGGTTCCCAGTCTCTTGTGTTGCCTTTAAGGGATGTGTGTGCTAGAACGACTACACACAGCCACTCTTTTTTCCCACTGTTGTGCAATAATAGGGCTTATAACGCAATGTTCTACGGTTGCTTTTTCAGTTAATATGTGTCTTAGGCCAGGCATGGTGGCTCATGCCTGTAATCCCAGCTCTTTGGGAGGCCGAAGTGAGTGGATCACCTGAGGTCAGGAGTTTGAAACCAGCCTGGCCAACATGGTGAAATCCCATCTCTGCTAAAAATACAAAACTTAGCCGGGTTTGGTGGTGGTGCGTGCCTGGAGGCTGAGGCTGAAGAATCGCTTGAACCTAGGATGCAGAGATTTCAGTGAGCTGAAATTGCACCACTGCACTCCAGCCTGGGCAACAGAGCTAGTCTTCATCTCAAAAAGAAAAGAAAAAAAAAATATATATATATATGACAGATAATTGTTATGATAATTATATATATAATATTTTTATTGGCCGGGCGCAGTGGCTCACACCTGTAATCCCAGCACTTTGGGAGGCCGAGTTGGGTGGATCACAAGGTCAAGAGATCAAGACCATCCTGGTCAACATGGTGAAACACCTGTCTCTACTAAAAATACAAAAAATTAGCTGGGTATGGTGGCGCGTGCCTGTAATCCCAGCTACTCGGGAGGCTGAGGCAGGAGAATTGCCTGAACAACCCAGGAGGCAGAGGTTGCGGTGAGCCGAGATCGCACCATTGCACTCCAGCCTGGGTAACAAGAGCGAAACTCCGTCTCAAAAAAAAAAAAAAGCAGGCACAGAAACTCACTACCAAAGACAGATGAACATTTTTTACCATGCTGTTTCTTTTAAATTTGTTAAAATTCAATTTTTTTTCCTACACATTTTTGGTTTTTCTCTCTTCCCTTTATTTCAAATTTAGGTGGAAAAATTAAACCTAACTTTGCTTTACACTTTAATGCAGTAATAGTAATGTGTCTTCATTATGTAAATGTGTGGAAATACTACTTTTTAGCAGGTTCTTCTATGTTTTCCATGACTCCGATTAGCTATATCTGAGTTACACACCCACATTTTAAAGTAAATCATTGCTTTCTGCCTCCTGTCTCTCCCCAGTTCTCCAGGCTTCTGTACTGACAGTCCCATCCAGACACACGCACAGCTGCCTGATGGAAACTCACAGCCTGAAGAAAGTCAGTATTAGCAGCCCTGTAATTTTGGCATCAGGGCAGGCACCAGCCATAAAAGTCTGAAAAACGTGGCACGGATTATTTTTCAAGCCAAGCGCTGTATTTCCTCTCTAGTCTTCTTAGCTATTTCCCAAGCTTATGGCTCTGATTCCTTTCCTCGTGTTGTGAGTGCTTGTAGGCCTCCATGCCTTCTTCTGCAGAAAAGGACCACAAGATGGAAGTAGAGCCCGTGTCTTTGTCAGTCCCTTCTCTTTCTTTCGTCTCAAGGACTCTCATCTTCACCCTTACTGTTTTATGTCTTTAGCGAAAGTCATAAAGATAATGAGTATTTGGCATGTGTAAGGTTACTAAAGAAAGAGGCATAAACATTTTAACCAAATACATTAACCATGTGGGAACATGGTTAGGGCTTGGGTGAAAGGCATATTTACAAAACAGAGATTGAGGCTAATTATTCATTTTATAAACCTACTCAGTGTATAGTTCCTAATAGTAATGAGAGGGGCCTTTATGACTGTCCTATAAACCATGGATGACAATCTCCACTGCATCTGGTGGGATAAGCTTCTGATGATAAAACCAACATGATACTCTTCCCTTAGTGAAGACTTCTTACATGTTGGATATCTTGGTAAATATCTCTTGATTCTCACAACAGCCGCACATGTGTCCAGTCTGATTTATGAATGTCATCTGTCCTCACTCTGCACAGGAACTTTTAGTTGAGTGGAAGACACATCCAGATTCCTAGACATGTGTTAACACTAAGACCAAACTAGGTCCAATGGCCATTTTCAGATCAGTGCGTTTGATTGTGTTCACATGTCCTTTCTAAAAGGAAGCCCTTCATTGCTCAAAGTGTTTTTGTGAAACGCTCATATAGATGATAAATGTCTTGTTCTGGCGCTACACTTTTTCAGAATGCATTCACCGAATTAATCTCATTGGAAGGTGTATACTGAGAAATGTCAGCCCGTTATATTCTAACACCATCTGTGAAATTGGAGCAGATTATCCCTCATTGGGAGGCTTGCATTTTTCAGCATTATCATAATGCCTTTAACAAAATACTTTTATCAGATAATTTTGGTAAAACATTATGCAGAAAAAGAAAACTCATAGCCAAGCTCAAAATTTTCATTTGCATCTATAAAGATCTTTCATTCATATTGGAAAAATCTGAGCATTCTTTCATGTCAAAGAATGGTGTCATTTATTTATATTAGTAATATTTATATTGTAGTTTTGCCCAGAAATCCAGAAAACCCCATTTATATCAGTAGCCCTTCTTGGTAAGTTTCATGGTCTGAAATAAGATGTTGAGCTATGGAAGTCTCAGTTTTTCTATCTGAAGACCACGAATGACCGTGCTCTGTGACATTAGGGCAGGATGGGTGTGCTGTCATATGGACGGCACCATCCCCTTCATTTTACTCCATATGCTACCCTCAGAGGGGTCTTCTCATAACGCCCTTCTTAATTAGACATTCAGGCCCCCTTTTGCCTCCAGCCCAAATGTATCATATCATTTAAGGACCCCCGGAATTGGGATCTGTCTTCACCTTTTGAATCTGACCTGAACTTTGAGCTGTAGTAGCCAGTGCTAGTCCACACACTGTAGACCAAGTGCCATCCATCTCCTCATGTCTCCCACACTTCTGCTTCCTCCCCTTGGCGCATGCCTTTCTCCTCTCTGCATCCGCACATATCCTACTCATCCTTTACGCCCAGCCACAATCTCTTGACTGCCCCAGCAAGTAGTAATATCTTCCTGTTCTAATTTCTCCAGACCTTGTCTCTCTGTGTTACTTTTTCAGCTTTTCCGAGGGTTCTGTATTTGGCACGCTGTCTTTGCCTCGTCTGGATTGCTTTCAAGATTTCTCACATATTTTCTATCCTTCCCTCTCTCTTCAGTAACCCTACACGTGCTAAATACTTCATAAACATGGGATTGGTTGTAATTATTAGTTCAGGAATACCAGGTGCTTCAAAAATGATGCTATGAAAACATTGCCCTGAAAAGCAAGAAAACAACATTTGGAGCCAAAGAAACGTTTCTTGATTGAGTTCCTTCTGGGCTGTGTTGCTGGAAGCTTTGAGAGATGTCCATCTTAGCCACTTTAACTGTGATCTTAGTAGGAGGAACGGGTTTGCCATCCTTCTTGGATCCCTGACTTGTATTATGGGAAGTCTCAGTCATCATAGGAATTGACTCATGTAATGGAACAATAGGGAACAGCAAGGAAGATGGAAGTGTGTGGGATGACTGACAAGCAGCCTTCACCGGAACAGAAGCTCTTGGGGCCCGTAATTGCGCCTCCTGTGTACACACACACGCATGTGCACATAAGTGCCTCCGTATGTTTGTGAGATGAACTGGCATTGTCACAATTCTGAAAGACTGTTTTGTTTTGTGTTCTACAGTTTTAGCTTTTCCTGCATATCTGCTAGGGATAAACCAGGACCGGTTAAAAGAAAAGCTAACGAGCCGGCAGATGGATAGCAAGTGGGGAGGCAAATCCGAATCCATCCACGTGACCCTCAACGTGGAGCAGGCCTGTTACACCCGGGATGCGCTGGCAAAGGCCCTGCATGCCCGAGTGTTTGGTTTCCTCGTAGATGTAAGTAACACGAGTTGTTGTTGGTGATGCTTCATATCTTAGCTATAAAGAGTAGAACTAGCAGGCCGAGAGTGGTGGGGCATTCCTGTAATCCCAGCACTTTGAGAGTTAATTCCCGTAATCCCAGTACTTCGAGAGCTAAGGTGGGAGGATCTCTGCAGCCCAGGAGTTTGAGACCAGCGTTGGCAACATGGTGAGATCCCATCTTTACAAAACACCCACACACACACACACACACACACACACACACTATCCAGCTGTGGTGGCATATGCCTGTGGTCCCAGCTACTCAGGAGGCTGAGGTAGGAGGATCACTTGAGCCTGGGAGGCCAAGGCTGCAGTGAGCCAAGACTGTGCCACTGCACTCCAGCCTGGGGGACAGAGTGAGACGCTGCCTCCAACAACAGCAGCAGAAAGAGTAAAGTGACTAAGGGCTTTGTGTTCCTGTTCTGGCTCCTTCCTTTCACCCATTACCTTACTTCACTTTCTGTCTTCTCACTCTGTGATCACTGAATCCTGATCTTCCTTTTACAACTGCCCACCAAGGCACCTTAGCTACATCTAATGTGGTAACAAGTTTTTTCCAGACAAAATACTTAGTAAAGCTAGGATTAGAGACCAGAAAAAGAGGAGACCCACGTTCATGGGCCTTTCTTAACATTTGGGCCTAAAGCTTTAGGAATGTGTTTTTAACATATTGCTGTGTTACAAATTAACGCAAAACCTAGCGGCTAGAAACGAGAAGCACTTGTTTTCTTAGATTCTGAGGGTCAGGTATTAGGGATGGACTGAACTTGCTGGTTCTGACTCAAAGATGAGGCTGCAGGCAAGATGCTGATTGGAACTGTGGTCCTCTGAAGTCTGGCTGAAAGATGGATTGCCCATGTGGCTGTTGACAGGAGGTCTCAGTCCCTTGCTGCACGGACCACCCCTTGAATGTCCTCATAACATGATGGTTTTCCCCAGCATGAGTGATCTGAAAGGGGGAATGAGCAGGAAGCCAGTTCTTTATATCCTAATCTTGGACTCAGGTATAGTCTCTCTGTCACATTCTGTTTGTTAGAAGCAAGTCACTAAGCAAAGTCCACAGTTAAGGGGAAGGGAATAAAGCTCCATCTTTTGAAGGGAGGAATATAAAAAAACTTTCGGCGTGTATTTTGAAACTGTTAGGTATTTTTGGTTATGGCATAATTACATATGTGTGTGTACATATACATACTTACATATGCATATATATTTATATATGTGTATCACATATATATTCTGAAAATTGGTCTTTCCGCAGTGCAGAGCTGCCGGTAACAATCTGTGTTCATCACTGTGCCCTCTAACTGGTAGAATAATAATTGCAGGCAGTTATATAGCACTAGTTGTATAAGTGCCCAGATACTTTTCTAAGTATTTTAAAGGGAAAAAACCCTCACTTAATTCTTACAACAACCCTGTGAGTTAGGTATTATTATCTTTGCTTTACAGATAAATTAAGGGAGGCATAGACTGATTAGGGCATTTTCCCAAGGGCACACTGTTACTATGTGATTGACGTAAGAGGCCCTGCATCCCTAGCTATTTGGCTCCTTTGAAGTTTATATATTCAAGCTAGAAGGACCCTCGTCGAGGGACAACATTGGGGCTATTTGAGCCAAAAGATCTGTATTTTAGTCACTAACATCTATGTGGCTTACAGTATGGTTAGTGTGGTTAGAGTAGGGTTAGGTACGACAGCGTGGGAGAACTATTCTGGGTACTTGTAGTGGCTTTTTGAAGGATAACATTGCTTGGGGAGGTCAGGGTCATACTAAACAGAAGTCACGCCGTTAGGTTGTGCAAACCCCTCATTTTACTGAGAAGGGAATGTCAGGCCTGAGTAATGGTGGTTTTACCCAAGGCCAGTCAGTAAGAGGGTGGCGCAGCCTGGGACTAGAATCCGTATCTCTTGTCTGTCTGTTCATTCAGAGCACCTTACAGCGCTGGACTTCCTACCCTCCTTCCTTCCTGTCATCTGTCCTTTTTTTTTGTAAATAGTAAAAGTAGATGAATGCTCATGTAAGTGATCCTAATTTGACGTGGCATATACTGGGCACTGACTGTGTATTGTATATGATTACTGATTCTCTCACAAAAGAGATATATCATTTTATTTGCCTGGAAACACCTCTGGTACTTCAGAATTCATCCAGATGTTCAATACCTCAAAGAATTTTCCTCTTACACTCCTCCCCTCCTGCATCACCCACCAACCCCCTCTATCCTTTACCTCACATGCAATCGTTAAGTCTGTTCCCACGAATTGCTTGGCCTCTTCTCACAGTGATTAAAAAAAAAAAAAGGGACAGGAGGAAAAAAAAAAGAACACCGGTTTAGGCATGACACTGCTAAAATTTATTCCCAGACCCTGCTTCTTACTAGAACAATGGAAAATTGGGAAAATAATGGTATCACTGCTGTTGTGAGAATTGAAATGAGAATTCAGTGAAACATACAGTGAGAGCGCTTAGCAAACCCTGGCGAGAGGGAACATTCAGTAGATGTAAGCTGCTTTTAGTCTCAATTCAAACATGATGACTGTGGTTACTATCCATAGGTAGCTCTCTACAAGCTCCTGGGAACAAGGATTGTCTTGTTCTTAGCATCGCTGGCATACTGTGCTGGGTCATCACTAAATGACTGGCGGATGGAAGACAGCGGAGATGGCAGTTACAGAGCCTTTGGTGTGGGTTCTTCACGTGAAATAGGTTCCGCTTTGATCATCCAAGATGACCTTTTCTTCCAAGTCTTAAGACTTCCTGAAAAAGCTGAGTCAGCCAGAAACTAATGTTATCATGATTAAGCAAACATTTTTTGGTTCTACTGTCCCTGCTTTTCTGAATCCTGGTGGTTTTTCAAAGTCCTCCACTTTGCACCGAGACTTGGTGAATGCAGCGAGTCTCCTGCCTTCACGTTGTCCTCTGTCCTGCAGGCAGTAGCGTTTGCTGTGTGGAGTCCAGCTTCCCTCCCCAGCATGGGCCCATTTTTAGTGTACATGGAAAGGAATTCACTGCCATGCTGTTTTCTTTCTCTAGTCCATCAACAAAGCCATGGAGAAGGACCATGAAGAGTACAACATTGGCGTCCTGGACATCTATGGCTTTGAAATATTCCAGGTGAGGCCAGTTTGAATAACTGCAGGTTTAGGAGGGTGACGTATTTCATCTCGCCTGCAAGAAATAATTCTAGGCAATGCAAAAACAAACAAAACAGGGAAAACAACAACAACAAAAACCACTCAGGTTCATTTTTGCCTTTCTGAGTTTTTCATGTACCTCTACCAAATTAATTTCTCCTAAATATAAACTTCTTTCTATTGATGCTTCCAACATTTCTATTAAAGCCTTGTGCATCGAGAAGTTTCAATAAATCACTCAAGAAATGACTTTTAAATGAGTTTATGGAACAATTACATGTGAATAACTTCTTTTTTCCCCCAGAAAAATGGCTTTGAACAGTTTTGTATCAATTTTGTTAATGAGAAACTGCAGCAGATTTTTATTGAACTCACATTGAAGGCGGAGCAGGTAAGCAGCCCCCTCCTTAATCCTGTTCTACTTACAACTCATTTTGTTTAAAAGGGTATAGATCTCTGTCTTTGGATAACAGATTTGGGTTCCAGTCTTATATTAGGAAATGTACCTGACAAAGTCAGGTAGAAAACCATATGCCGTTGTGGCATTTTAGTCCCTGAAACATAAATACCGTCTGCAGCATTTGCCTTCTTTAAGCAGATGGTGCTATGACGTTGGACGTAAGATTGACTGCTTTTACTATACTGACTCATTGAGCACGTGGGAAATGGGAGCCTAGTTCCAGCCCTCACTGACTGTGGCATATTTTATGTTCCAAATAAAAGACTTGATTTTCGGCTGGGCACAGTGGCTCACGCCTGTAATCCTAGCACTTTGGGAGGCTGAGGCGGGTGGATCTCTTGAGGTCAGGAGTTCAAGACCAGCCTGGCCAACATGATGAAACCCCGTCTCTACTAAAAATGCAAAAATTAGGCAGGCATGGTGGTGAGTGCCTATAGTCCCAGCTACTTGGGAGGCTGAGGCAGGAGAATCACTTGAACCCAGGAGGCAGAGATTGCAGTAAGCTGAGATCACACCACTGTGCTCCAGCTGGGGTGATAGAGCAAGACTTAGTCTCAAAATAATAATAATAATAATAAATAGATCGTTCAGTGCAGGGTCCGTTGTTTGCTGCTGTCATATTGTTTAGGATTCCTGGGGCCACCATAACAAAGCACCACAAACTGAGTGACTTTAAACAGTAGCAGTTTCTTCTCCACCAGTTCTGGAGCCCAGAGCTGAAATCTGGCCACACTCCTTGCCAGGATGGAGGGGAGGATCCTTCCCCTTCTAGTTTCTGGTGGCCCCTGGTATTTCTTGGCTTATGGCAGTTTGACTCCAGTCTCTGCCTGTGTCTTCACATAGCCTTTTTCAGTGTCCCTCTATGTCTGTATTCAAATCTCCATCTCTTTTCTTTTATGAAGACACCATTTTAGCTTCGCACAGTGGCAATATTGTGGCCAGTGAGGTTTGTCGGAGGCATGATTATTGCTAATTGAAAACTTTTTGCAATACCCCGCCATGACGACTTGAAATATAGTTGGCATTGACAGTTTTTGACAGTCTCAATGGAGAGTAAACGGTAAAGAAAGAAAAAGAAAAACACTATGCTTTGGATTTCGAGTTCACTCAAAACCCAGGATGACTTATTGTGAGATCCTTAGTGGATTACATTTATAAAGACCTTATTTCCAAACCTGGCGGTCTGAGGTTCCAGGTGGACATGGAATATTGGGGATAGTATTCAAGCCACTGCACAGGTCAAAGGCTGTTTTGGGGTCATTCAGTTATGGAAGTGTTCATGCCTCTGCTTAGAAAATACCATACCACTTTGGGAGGCCGAGGCGGGTGGATCATGAGGTCGAGAGATCGAGACCAACCTGGTCAACATGGTAAAACCCCGTCTCTACTAAAAATACAAAAAATTAGCTGGGCGTGGTGGCGCGTGCCTGTAATCCCAGCTACTCGGGAGGCTGAGGCAGGAGAATTGCCTAAACCCAGGAGGTGGAGGTTGCAGTGAGCCGAGATCGCACCATTGCACTCCAGCCTGGGTAAGGAGAGCGAAACTCTGTCTCAAAAAAAAAAGAAAATACCATACCAGGGGAAATACCAGGCCCAGGAACCTGCCTATGGCTGTTTTGCTCTAGCTACTGTAGGAGTGGGAGAAGGCTTGAGGTTCGCATGAAACCCTTTCTACCATTGCTGCCTCAGTCCTTACCACATCCAGCCCGGTCTACTCCAGCAGCCTCCTCACTGGCTTGGTAGTCTCCCTATGGGTTTCACGTGGTCTTCTAGCCTTACTCAACCCTTAGAGTACCTAGAGCAAAACAACTGAGGAAGAGTGCAATAGCAAATGAGATGGGATGGGGAGGTAGGGGCCAGATCTTGTGGGAACTTTGCAGGGCATGGCTGAGACTTTGGGCGTTACAGTAAGTGGAATGAGGACCCGTTGAAGAATTCCGAACGAGGAGTGACGGGATCTGATTTGTCATTTGTGTTTTTGCATAGGTCTCTGGCTGTTATAGACTTGGGGAGTAGGGTGAGGCAGGGGAAACCAAACTAAAATGGAAGTTTAAAAAACAGCGAGGGGCTACTGTAGGAGACTGTGCTGGACATGGCAGAGGCTTAGACGGCCATGGTGGCAGTGCAGGTGGTGGGAGGGAGCATCTGGAGAGTGAGCCAATGGAACTTGCTCAAAATAATTAGCAGTAACCAAGAAAGAGGAAGCACTCACGGGCGATTCTTAGCTTTGTACCCTGGATAACAGGCCGATGGTGACACTGTTTACTGGAGAATGAGATTAAAAGAGGGGTTGTTTGGAGGCCGTGGGAAATGTGGAATCAGAGTTCCTCTAGACAGGTTAGGTTTTAGAGGCCTATCATACTTCCAAGTGAAGATTCCAATCTATAGAATGGATTTAAGCCTGGAACCCTGTGGCGAGGTCTAGACTAGAGAAATGAATTCAGGAGCCATTAGCCTGTAGGTGGCATTTAAAGCCTTGGGACTGATGGAAACCACCTAGAGAGGGAGGGCTGAGAACATGGGAAGGCTGGAAGATTGAACCCTGAGATTTCAACACATAGAAAGTTCTGGAAAGAAGAAAGAGCTAGCACAGGAAGCCGACAAGGCGAGACCAGGGAGGAAGGAGGAAAAACTGGGACAGTGTCACAGTGTTCGAGTTAAATGAGTGACTAATAGACTGAAGGAGCTTCCCGTTGAGTACCTTGATGCTAACCTGTACTCCTGTCCTACGTCGAATTTTAAGAGTTTCGTGATTTATCAGTTTGGTGCTATACTAAATTGTAGTTTTTGTCTGTCAAAAACAATTGTTTGGTAACAATTTCATACGGTTCAAACTAAACGTAAAAATTACCAAGTAATAAAATGTCCCTTCCTATGGCCTCTTACAAAATAAGAAATTCAAGTTCCTACTCTTGGTTGGAGGACTTTCAAGTCTTTCTCTTTCATGAGAATTTTTGTCCATCCAGGGTCTCTCCATGCAGGGCTCTTGCTGTTTGGGTAATAACGTGAGGTCCTGGTTTCTGTCTTATAGGAAGAATATGTTCAAGAGGGAATAAGATGGACACCCATTGAGTACTTTAATAACAAAATCGTGTGTGACCTCATAGAGAACAAAGTGGTGAGTGTTGGTTTAGTATGTCTTGTCACTGCTCACAGGTTTACACTGAATTCTTGTTCTCCCTGTCATTGTTTTACAACAGGCAAAGTGACAACTCTGATTTGCAGGGAATTGGAGCACTTGTGCTACTTTTCTGTATGTGTGAAAAGAGAACAGTAGGGCTTTATTCTGGTAGTAAATATGAACACGTGGATATGAGTAAAATGTCAGTTTGCAAATGGAAGTTGTCACTGATTCTAAGAGAAGACGACTGTCACGTGATGCCACGCCATGTGCAGAGCCGTTAACACTGGCCCCAGGTTCTAGTCCAACTTCTGGACTTTAGCCCCAGTGACTGTTTCAGGCCAGGTGTGGTGGCCCATGCCTACAATCCCAGTACTTTGGGACGCTGAGGCAGGTGGACCGCTTGAGCACAGGAGTTGAAGACCAGCCCAAGCAACATGGTGAGACCCTGTTTCTAAAGACAAAATTTAGCTAATATGAAAACTGTATTAGCTAAATACAAAAATTAGCCAGGCATGACGGTGTGCACCTGCGGTCCCAGCCATTCTCGAGGCTGAGGTGGGAGGATCGCTTGAGACTGGGAGGTTGACGCTGTGGTGAGCTGAGATGACACCACTGCACTCCAGCCTGGGTGACAAAGCAAGACAAGACCCTGTCTCAAAAAAAAAAAAAAAAAAAAAGATTCAAAATAAAACAAAAGTGATATACAACAGATACCACAGGACTTTTTATAAAACTGAAAACAGTAAAAATATCCATAGACAACTTAGTTATTAAACAAACTATAGTGTATCAGAAGAGAGAAATACAGCCATTAAACTAGTAAGTACGAAGAATGTGTAAAGCATGAGGAATGCTCATAAAATAGCTGGGCGCAGTGGCTCACACCCGTAATCGTAGCACTTTGGGAAGCTGAGGCGGGCAGATCATGTTAGGAGATCGAGACCGTCCTGGCTAAGATGGTGAAAACCCACCTCTAATAAAAATATGAAAGAATTTGCTGGGGGTGGTGGCACGTGCCTGTAGTTCCAGCTACACAGGAGGCTGAGGCAGGAGAATTGCTTGTACCCGGGAGACGGAGGTTGCAGTGAGCCAAGATCATGCCACTGCACTCCAGTCTGGGTAACAGAGCAAGACTCTGTGTCAATTAAAAAATAGATAAAATTAGTGCTATGTGAAAAGAGAAATGCATTATAGAATGTGTGCACTAAATAATTATATAAATGATACCTATATGGGTCACAGGCCGAAAAAGAACATTAAGAAAGAGATTCGGTCAAAAGAAAATGTTTTTATTTTACTTTTGGATTCTTAAAGTCAATTTGGCATGAATATGAGTGAGCAGATACTGATCTGTGCATGACTCTTGGATAAGACTTCAGGGAGTTAAACAGTTTTTTGGAAAATAAGAGTTTCCTCCCTCTTTATATCTAAGTGGTGACTCCCCATTTGGGACTATTAATTACATTCTTGCCTGAAGGGAAAGACTGACTTTCAAGATGGTATCTTTGCCTAAAAAAGGACTTGTCTGTTTTGGAGAGGTCAGTGACTAGGGCCTTGCCTTCTTGTTTCCGTCAGAACCCTCCTGGCATCATGAGCATCCTGGATGACGTGTGCGCCACGATGCATGCGGTGGGTGAGGGGGCAGATCAGACCCTGCTCCAGAAACTTCAAATGCAGATTGGGAGTCATGAGCACTTCAACAGCTGGAACCAAGGCTTCATCATTCACCATTACGCTGGGAAGGTATGGCCAATGTCCATTTTAATGTCTGTCTGTTTTAAGCCTTTGGGTCTGTGATCTGTTTTCTCATGAAGCAAATGATATGCCTTGCTGTATTAGTCATTCAACAAACAGGACTTACCAACTATCAAGGGAGGCAAAACAAAAGACTGTATGTACTAATACGTGTTTTTTCATGTACATACTTTTTACGTTGTAGAGGAGGGTACTACTTTTTTTTACAGCATATAAATGAACGTAGGTATAAGCCAGCAAGAATGAAAGAACTAACATACATCTAATGAAAAGAAGCAGAATTTCTAAAACACAAACACCTATGTCCTACTTTTGGGAACCAAATGCCAACTACATATATATAAAACAAGCCAAGTGCTGCTACATCAGGGGTACCAGAAACACTTTCTTTAGGAATTGTAAATAAGGATTGTCCAGCACCTGGATGCTAAATAAAAGAGCTGGAGGACGGAATAAATAGGAAAGTCACTCTACCCACTTTCCTCTTTCCATCTTTTAAGAATTCAAGTTTTTTTCAAAATTTTGATAAAAATAGCCTGTATCTATGATCTCTTCAACAATATCGGAATGGTAGTTTTATGCCTTTTTTCTTTTTTTTTTTTTTTGTCTTTTTGTTTTCTTCCTTTTTGTGGAGAACGGGGTCTTGCTATATTGACCAGGCAGGTCTTGAACTCCTGGGCTCAAGCTGTACTCCCGCCTCTGCCTCCCTAAGAGCTGGGATTACAGGCGTGAGCCACAGCGCCCAGTCAGAATGGTAGTTTTAGACAACTTTAAAGCTTAAGCTCCTTCTGAATTTCCCAAAGTGTTTTTGCGCTCTTCTTCAGGTGGGCCTCCTCTTCAGGGGTCAGCTTTATCTTTATTCGGTTGGTAATACCGTTCTCTCCCAGGATACAAGGAATACTGAGGAACACTTCTTCATCTATTCCATAGAGGCCCTTAATTATGGTGGAAACTGGATGTGTTCTCCTGAGATTCTTCAAAATACTTTCCGTTAAATCAGCTACAGATAGGCCAATAGCCCAAGAAGTATAACCTTTCATTTTAATAATCTCATAGGCACTAGCAATCACTTCTTTGTGGACATTTTTCCATTGCTCAGGATCTTTATCAGTTCCTATGTCAGGGTTCAGATCCTTCAGAGGGACGCCAGCAATGTTCACTCCACTCCACACAGGAACACTTGAGTCCCCATGCTCTCCGAGGATCCATCCGTGGCAGCTCTCAGAGTGGATACCAAGCTTCTGTCCGATCAAGAAACGAAAACGAGCGGTATCCAGATTACAGCCGCTTCCAATAACACGATTTTTGGGAAATGCGCTCAGTCTCCAGGCTACGTAAGTCAGGATATCCACTGGATTGGAAACAACAATCAGTTTGCAGAGGGGGCTGTACTGGGCAATGCTGGAAATCATTGACTTGAAGATGGCCACGTTTCGCTGGACTAAATTAAGGCGCGTCTCTCCCTTTACCTGGCGTGCACCTGCTGTGATAATCACTAGGCTGGAGTTTGCTGTGACACGGTAATCTCTGCTACAGACAATATTTGGCATTTTCAGGAAAGGGCTGCCGTGTTGAAGGTCCATGGTCTCCCCCTTCAGTTTCCCTTCATTGAGATCCACAAGGGCAAGTTCATCAGTCAAGCCTTTTAGTAAGATGCTGATGGCGCAGGCCATGCCCACCGACCCGGCACCTATGATGGAGACCTTACTGTGAGGAACGAGCTTCCCGGAAGTGAAGCTCTCCATCAGCTCACTCTTCACAGTCGCCATCTTGCTCGTGGGGGTGAAGAGCCGGGTGCCCTGACGGGGAAACGGGGCCATCCCCAGGCACAGGAAATCCATCCCCGCCGAGCTCACTCTCCGGGTGGCCCGCACCACAGGCAAGGTCCAACTCATGGCTGTTCACTCGAGAAGTGGAGGGAGTGAATGGGGAAAAAGCTGCGGACTGAAACGTTGAGACGCCAGGAGAGCCGTTGGCAGCACCGTCAGCCCTCAACGGCCAGTGCGCATGAGCCGCTCCCGACCCTCCACTACGACTGCGCATGAGCCGCTCCCGACCCTCCACTGCGACTGCGCATGAGCCGCTCCCGACCCTCCACTGCGACTGCGCGGGCCTTGCCGGCGCTTCCCACACGTGCTTTCCGTGGGTGCTCAGACTAAGGCGGTGAAAGGCTGCTTCACTAGCACGTGATTTCTGGAGTTTGTTTTACCAAGAATATCCTCATCAAGAGTTGGCATGCTTAAGAGGCTAACCCAGATCCCTGGAATTACTCGTTTTCTATTTTTAGTATGAATGCCAAGAAAAATGCTTCTGCTAACTACAGCTGGAAATAAGGTTTCATCTGAAGCGTGACCCTGCCAGGAAGGATAGGGCACTGTGCTTTGTGTGCCGGTAGCTGCTTGCACCATCTCCCAGTGTCCCAGAGTGGGCTCCTGCTTTCTGCTGTATGGTCTGGAGGCCTATTTATTTATAAATTCATTTATTTATTTTTTGAGATGGAGTCTTGCTGTGTCACCCAGGCTGGAGTGCAATGGCACGATCTGAGCTCATTGCAACCTCTCCCTCCCAGGTTCAGGCAATTCTCTTACCTCAGCCTCCCAAGTAGTGGTATTAACAGGCATCTACCACCATGCCCACCTAATTTCTTCTATTTTTTTAAAGTAGAGACAGGGTTTTGCCACGTTGGCCAGGCTAGTCTCGAACTCCTGACCTCAGGTGATCAACCTGCCTCAGCCTCCCAAAGTGCTGAGATTATAGGCATGAGCCACTGTGCCCAGCCTAGAGGCCTATTTATAAAGGATCCCACCACCTTGGTGCCAGTCCTGGCCAGGACCCACACTGCAACAGTCAGTAGGAGCTTGAGCCGGGTAGGGACCGGCTTGGAGTCATCCAGCACTAAAAACTCATCATGCTACTGCATATTTTTAGAACGTGAATTATTACTCTGCTACATATATTAGCTGTTGAGGAAACGGATTTTCATCTTGCCTCTTGCTGCAATCACAGACTTGCATTCCTTGTCTGACCATGCTGACTGGCTGTAAAAATGAAGGTCCGGAGTTCACTTTTGGTGTCGTCCTCATAAAATGCGTGAATATTGGGTGCCTACTGGGTGCCAGGCTGTGTGGGGCTGCTGATGATCAAAAAGTAAGTTGAGGTCATGGTCTTGGGGACTTCCTCGTCCTGTGGAAATCCCCTGGTCTCATCCATCATCCCTGCTGATCTCTTGTTAAACAGAGTATCAGCATGAGTTTCTGGCCAGATTGGTGCACATTTGATACCACTTTTGGGAGAAATTGCAAAGCCTCAGATGACATGGCTCACTTCAATGAACTACTGAGCATGAGGGGTTTCACTTTTGCTCTGTCTTAGCTAGAATTTAGGAAAGAATTGAGTTTATCACTTACACACCCTATGGCTCCACTGAAGAAGGGGCATGGGGCCTTTAGAATTGGAGTTCTGATTATTGATGATTTGAGCTATCCTGGCAGCTAGACCCTCATCAGCATCTGCAGGCCATCCCCGCTAAGCCAGCTGACAAGTAAGACATGTACGTAGCCTTCCTGTGACAGTGCACGACGAAATTCCAAATGCAGCATCTGGAATTCCACACGTTGTGGTGAGGGTAGCCTTGCCAGCTTGGGTTTTGTGTTTAGTGAAGTTACATTTTTTTGTTCAATGAATGATTTTGCTGAATGAATTGCATTTTTGTTCAATGAAATTAGATTTTTTTTTTCCTTTCTTGGCCAGGTATCCTATGACATGGATGGCTTTTGTGAAAGGAACCGGGATGTGCTTTTTATGGATCTCATCGAGCTTATGCAGAGCAGTGAGCTGTAAGTATGTTTTGTCATAGCTGACAGGGGATATAGGTTTGATGACATTTTCATTATGAAAACAAACTTGCGAGCTGGGTATAGTGGTGTGCGCCTACAGTCCCAGCTACTTGGCAGGCTGAGGCAAGAGGATCACTTGATCCTAGCAGTTTGAGGCTGCTGTGAGCTGAAATCACTCCTATGAATAGTCACTGATCTCTAGCCAGGCAACGTAGAAAGACCCTATTTCTAATACAGAAAGAATAAAGGCGGGGTACGATGGCTCGTGCCTGTAATCCCAGCACTTTGGGAGGCCAAAGTGGGCAGATCACAAGGGCAGGAGATCGATGCCATCCTGGCCAACATGGTGAAACCCCATTTCTACTAAAAATACAAAAATTAGGTAGGTGTGGTGGTGTGTGTCTGTAATCCCAGCTCCTCATGAGGCTGAGGCAGGAGTCACTTGAACCAGGGAGTCAGGAAGTTGCAGTGAGCTAAGGTTGTGCCACTGCACTCTAGCCGGGCAACAGAGCGAGACCCCATTTCAAAAACAACAAAAAAGGAAAACGAAACAGAGCACCTGTGATGTTTACTGGTTAGCATTTTGTCGTTTGTGCTATTGGGTCTGGATTATCATTCATCTATTTGGTTTCTCAAAGTAGCTTTCTTTTTTCCTGTATCAGTCTCTCCCTTATGTCCCTAACACTTACGCTCCCAAATCCCAAGTGCCATGTACATGTCCTTCAGGACCTCAGGCTTTCTACCTTTCAATACTATGGTCAGGAAGAAGTGAGCACACTGGGTTTGGATTGAGATGGCCATTTCTGACCATTTAAGAGGGTGCCGTCTATGATACTTTTCCCTTGAAGTCTTCTTCATTGTCATTGAATTTTTAAATATGGTTAATGACTTAGCAAGACCCACAGTAACCAGGGTCGCTGAAGTACTTAAGAAATGGCTTGAGGTGGTGCGGTGGCTCACGCCTATAATGCCAGCACTTTGGGAGGTGGGCGGGATCACGAGGTCAGGAGATCCAGACCATCCTGGCTAACTCAGTGAAACCCCATCTCTGCTAAAAACACAAAAAATTATCCAGGCATGGTGGCACGCACCTGTAGTCCCAACTACTTGGGAGGATGAAGCAGGAGAATTGCTTGAATCCATGTGGCAGAGGTTGCAGTGAGCCAGGATTGTGCCACTTCATTCCAGTCTGGGCAACAGAGTGAAACTCCATCTCAAAAAAAAAAAAAAAAAGAAAAAGAAATGGCTTGAGAACTCTGGGAGGGATAAGTAAAGGAGTGACTCCGAGATCCATTTGAATTCCCAGGAGCCTGTTTAAGCTGTAGGGGTAGCACAGGGCGGGTATCCCTCTTGCATGTTGCTGGAACTCTCCAGAACACCTCTGTCTTCCTCTCCTCTTCCTCTCCGAGAACCCTCAAGGGTTCTAAAGACCCTGGATAAACACATAGGAGATGAAATGTACACCAGCAGACCCATGCATACCAGATCTTACAATTTCTAGCGCTTCCTCCAAGTAAGAGCTGCCCTTTTGGTCTCTATTTCTAAAGCAGTCACAATAGCAAGGCCAGCTTCTCTAATCAACGGCGGCAAACCTGCTACCTTTCTAATAAAGGCCTGACTGCAATGAAACTAAAGCCAGTGTTTCCTTTTCAGGCCCTGGTCAGTTGTTCTGCTCCATTTACTTCTCCCTCCACAGCTCCCTGCTGCTTCTCTCCCTCTGCTCTCCATCTCTGCCCTCCTTGCAGTCATGCCACCATTTCTGAGATTTTGCATTTCTTTTCATTCCAAACATACAGTATCTGTCTGTTCTCGGAAATGGTTAGGTAAGCCACAAGTCCTGGCTTGTGGGTTTTATGGCAGTCAGGTGCAAACTTGTTTCCAGATATTGTTTGTTAAAAACTAGTAAAATTCCTGCCAAATTTAAGAGCTGTTATTGCTTCCACATAAACTGCTGTCATAGAGGCATGGCCTATTGTTTTGTAAACACATTTGATGTCAAAATCTGTAGTTGTGTCTGGTCAAGTTAAAAGTAGATTGCTGGGGAGACTTTCTGGAAAATTCAAGGTACCCAGTAAGTCACTGAGGAGGAAGTGAGTATTAGTGTCAGATTGCTCATTTACATGGATCCCCTCATTTACCCAGTCAGCGAGCATATGTTATGGACCAACTGAGCACCGTGCTGTGCTTCAGACACCAGGGGCACAAGGTGAGTAGGCATTGCCCTTGCCCTTTTGCTAGGGAGACATAGAAACACAGGCAGCTCAGTTAGTACCACTAGTGAAAGTGTCTTCAGCAGGCAGAGCATTCGTGATCTCTTACGGCCCCGTTTAAAATTGCTCATACTGGCCCGGCGCGGTGGTTCAAGCCTGTAATCCCAGCACTTTGGGAGGCCAAGGCGGGTGGACCGTGAGGTCAAGAGATCGAGACCATCCTGGTCAACATGGTGAAACCCTGTCTCTACTAAAAATACAAAAATTAGCTGGGCGTGGTGGCACACGCCTGTAATCCCAGCTACTCAGGAGGCTGAGGTTGCGGTGAGCCGAGATCGCGCCAAGCACTCCAGCCTGGGTAACAAGAGCGAAACTCTGTCTCAAAAAAAAAAAAAATTGCTCATACTCAGAAGCAGTTTGTGAGGGTTTTCTGTGTGGACCTGGGAACAGTGTGCTGCTGGCATCTGGTGGGCAGAGGCCGTGGATGCTGCTACATACCCACAATGTGTAGAAGAGGCCCCTCCTCAGAATTATCCAGAATAATTAAAGAATTGTTCAGCTGCAGATGCTGATGGTGCCCAGGCGCAGAAATTCTGCCCTCGAGCCAAGCAGCATCAGCACTGAGTCCAGACATTTCGTATAGTTCCCTGAGCTCTGGTCTGTCTTACTTGTCTTAACAAAGCCATGCTGACTGGGCGCAGTGGCTCACACTTGTAGACCCAGCACCTTAGGAGACTGAGGCAGGAACGCCACTTGAGCCCAGTTGTTTGAGACCAGTCTTGGAAACATGGCAAAACCCCTTTCTTTTAAAAAAATATGAGAATTAGCCGGGCATGGTAGTGCCTGCCTGTAGTCCCAGCTATTCAGGAGGTTGAGGTGGGAAGATGACTTGAGCCTGGGAGGTCGAGGCTGCAATGAGCTGTAACTGAACCCTGGCATACTAGCCTGGGCAACAGAGCAAGAACCTGTCTCAAAAAGAAAACAGAAAACCTGAAATCCCATACTGACTTCCCCGTTAGGTTCTCCTGTCAAGCTATACCTCAATTCCTGTCTAGGGACATTGGAAAGGCAGAGTTTTAAAATGTATTTTGCAGTCTTTGATTCCAAGTTGCTTATATCTTAGAATTCTTTCCCTTCGTGTCTTTTGTGGGTTGGTCATTTCCCCACGTCACATCTTGATGGCCTGTGCTGTGAGTCAGCTGGCCTTTCTGTAGCCAAGGTTTTGTGCCTGGGGACAGCCCGCCATTCCATCCTTCAGAAAGGCAGGCTTTCGGCTCCCAAGGTGCTTACAGATTGCTAATTCATTCTCTTTCTCCTTTTCCAGACCTTTTATAAAGTCTTTGTTTCCAGAAAATCTGCAAGCTGACAAGAAAGGGCGCCCGACTACTGCCGGAAGCAAAATAAAGGTTAGTTCTATTCTCGGAAATGTATAGATTCTTACAAGGCTGGGGTTTTCTAGGACTCGGGAACTACACCCCTGGGCCAGGATGAAGTCAGTGAGATGTGAAGGGGTGGTCACAGAAGATGCCCAGAACTACCATCACTGCTTGTTGGAAGGTTCCAGGGTGCAAGCTGAGTTTGACTTGGCTGTACCCAACACCTTCGGTGGATATTAAGTACCTCATAGCTTAATAGTCGGCAGATGATAATCAGCTACTTTCTAAGAGGAAATGGCTTTAAACAGAATCTGGAAGAATTTCTGTTAAACTAGCAGAGAAATGTGGTTCGGAGCCGTGTTTTAGACACTGATGACAGTTGGCCCGGCCAGTTATGGAACGTTGCTGGACAGAAAGTCTATTTGGTCTTTTGGGGGCAATTTATGTATCCCTCCTCACTGGATCTTGCAGGCTTCTCCTTGCTGTGAATCACAGACACATCTGGCCACATGGTGTGTCAAGTCTGAAGGAAATCTTAAAGTGTTTCCCAGGAAGTAGGCAGGTCTCTGTGGTACCCGAGCCGTCGTGTGGCGAAATTCATCGTCCCTGGCTACACTCTGAATTAAGAATTTGAGTCAGCCGGATGTGGTGGCTCACACCTGTGATCCCAACACTTTGGGAGGCCAAGGAGGGAGCATTTCTTGACCCCAGGAGTTCAAGACCAACCTGCGCAACATAGTGAGCCCCCCATCTCTACCAAAAATAAAAACTAGACAGGTGTGCTGGCTCACACCTATGCTCTCAGTTACTTGGGAGGCTGAGGCAGGAGGATCGCTCAAGTCCAGGAAGTCAAAGCTGCAGTGAGCTGTGAAGCTCCAACCTGGGGGACAGAATGAGACTCTGTCTCAAAAAAAAAAGTTTTGTCATTGTGTCACACACACGTAATCATGTAACTGGGAAGTACTCACTAAACCATTTTATAAAGTCATACTGGTTAGGAATAATTTTTGTAAAAATTATACCAGCTAGATATCTCCTCAGTTTTACAATGAAAGGAATGGTGGGTGACAGCAGGGCTTCGAGGTTCGCTTGCCCGTGTTTGAATCTCAGCTGTGGCTTTTCCTAGCGGTGTGCTTGCCAAGCTGTTACTCTCTCAGTGCCCTCACCACTTCCTTGTAATACGGAGATCTTAGTGCCTATCTTAAGAGGTTACTGTCGTGGTTCAGTTTCATAATTCATCAGAAGCATTTAACACAGTCAGTGCCTGAGACATGGTGAACACAAGATGTACACGTGCTCTGACTACATTCTTCCCTGATAGCCCCTTCCTATACCACCGATGTTTGCCTCTTCTTAATTCTTTTTTCTTTTTGTAAAGTTGGGGCCTCCCAACCCAGGCTGGTCTTGAACTCCTGGGCTCAAGCGATCCTCCCACCTCAGCCTCCAAAGTGCTGAGATTACAGGTGAGAGCCACTGAGTCCAGCCTGGGCTTTTAGCTGTAGGGTAGAGCCCTCTGGGTTTCAAGAACATGATGTCGAAAGAACTAGAGAAATTGAGTAGCCGCAGGACAGTCACTGGGTTAGGTTCACTGGAGCAGAGAGCTGAAGGCAGAAACAGATGAAATTCTCATGAGGCCGTGATATCAATGTCTGCGTGAAGTTTCTGACTCATGTCTTTACTGCAAGGTCCTGGATAAGGATTAACTCTGGGCTGGAAAATCGAGTCATGAGACTGTGACATTCAGATCCAAAGGGCCCAGATCATCCAGGTTGTGATGACTCATTTCCAAGTGGTCTGGATTATTCTCTATAAAAAGGAGAGCAAGGGTGGGGACACTTCTTTCCTCCATGTAGACTTGTCCCTTTTCTTTCCTTCATCTGCTTGTCTAGTTGAAGGCTCAGAGTGTCATCATTCTGGGGCGTTTCCAACATGTTCAGGGTTAGAAGTCTCAGGCTCTTGTTGCTAGGGAGGTCAAGCTGACGTCAGCTAGTTGACCTAAAGGGATTGCAGTGTGTTTTCCCACCCAGGTACACTCTCCTCGGTGGACGGCATGACCTCTGCCTGGCTGTCTGCCTCCACGTCGGAATAAAAGTTTCTCCAAGTACTTCATACAGATCCGTAGCCGTGGCCCAGTCGCTGCGACATTCCATACCCACGGTGTTTTGCAGACATCATTGTCATCTGAATGATGTCCCTGGGGCATAAGCATTTAAAAGGATTCTGATTTCCTTGAAGGAAAAATTAAACTTGTGTTCAAGGTCGTCTTAGTGTTACGTATTTCCGTACATTCTAATTATTTAAAAATTTAAACTGATTCGTAGGATTTAACTCAAAGAATATTCATTTGATGGGAACTCTCATTATCTTGATTATAAATAAAACTATAAATATAGTAATACTTAATAGCACCTGATTTTGAGGTTTCGTTAAATTCACTGTTGTTATGGCTGGAAGGGACCAGGACAGGTTGAGCATCCCAAATCCTGAAATGCTCCAGTGAACATATCACGTTGATACTCAAAAAGTTCCAATCTGGGAGCATCTTGGATTTCAGTTCTTCAGATTCAGGATACTCAACTATAGAGTATAATGCAGGCCAGCACTGGTGACTCATGCCTGTAATCCCAGCACTTTGGGAGGTCAAGGTGAGTGGATCACGAGGTCAGGAGTTCAAGACTAGCCTGGCCAACATAGTGAAACTCTGTCTCTGCTAAAACTACAAAAATTAGCCAGGTGTAATGGTGGACACCTGTAATCCCACTTATTTGGGAGGCCGAGGCAGGAGAATCACTTGAACCTGGGAGACAGAGGTAGCAGTGTGGTGAGATCATGCCACTGCACTCCAGCCTGGGCAACAGAGTGAGACTCTGTCTCAAAAAAAAAAAGGTTGTAATTAAATACGAAACTAAAATCTAAAAGTAAAGTTTAAAAAATTGAGGATTTGGGGACTTAAAGATAAAAAGTTGTGTTGTATGCAGCTCTGCAGATCCTCTCCAGCTCCACCTGGCGTGTTGTAAAAATCATCAGAGTTGTTCTCAAGTGCAGTCTACGTCATCAAAGAACATAAAAGGCCATTTCCTCTTCCATCAGAGGACTTTGCTTTGATCACACGACCTCTGCAGTCCTGTCTGTCCTCAGTTTCAAGCATCGCGAAGGGTGCTGTTTCCTGCACATCTAAACAGAGAACTTAATTCACCAATGAATATCTTGCTTTGAATATACTCAATAGTTTTTCCCAAGGGTTTCAGATTTCTCAAACCCATGAAAACAGAAAAGCCCTAATTGAGAGAGGTCATCTCTTGCAAGCAAATCCCTTCTGCTGACTTTGTAATGGTTTTCTGGCTTTGGAGGCCCCTTTGGGCTTTTTCCTTTTGGAGGTCTTCTCCCTTCATGCTGCTTTGCTTGGAAGTAGAGTTCACATGTGTGCCACATCCTTGGACTCACAGGATGTGCTCAGCTGTGGGGTGGGAATGCTGAGGTGAACTCTATTCCTGTTTATTCAAACAAAGTTTGAGATTCTCAGGGTTTAAAAGACTTCCTAAGCAATTTCGGCTTTATTTATGTGGCTTTCTCTGCTTGAACCCAGTTCTCCTTTGGGTACCCAGTGCACAGGCATTAATAGATGGTTTTATGTAGAATATTCTCTACTTGCGAAGAAGTAAGTGATCAGCCACACACAAAGTGTTCGGACTCTGCAGGTTTTTAAATGGACATGTTCAGGGAGAAATGGAATGAAATGGCATATCAAAAGTTTATAAATTCTCAGATTTTTATGAATCTCCCATTCTTTAACCGTGAATTTTCATCATTTTCATAAAGTGATTCTTCATTAGTTGCATTGCCAAGAAAGAGAGTGGAGGGGATTTGATGATTCATCCTTATAAATGATTTTGGAGGGAAAAAGTTAATGAGAACGAAATAGATGCAGAGGCCCTCTAATCAGTATAAAGTGAACTGACGGGCTTCACCGTTCGTGAACATCATTGTATGTGAAGATTTATTGGGAGTTTTGTTTTTTGTAGTTGTTTTATTTTATTAACTATACTAAAAATGCCTGGTTGCTTTCGAGGATTAAATTTCACACCCATTTAGGAGAGAGAAAATCATCATAAAAGTCAGCAAAGCTTTACAAAAGTTTAGTAGACCTGACTTAGGCTTAATGAGCAAATTGTCACAAAGATTAATTCCTAGTTATATAATTCTACAATAGCGTTTTTACAAGTCTCCTTTGAAATTTGGTCTTCTTTAGAGAAAGTTCCATGACTATGATACTGTTCTTCCTTTCTAGAAACAAGCCAATGACCTTGTGAGCACCCTGATGAAATGTACACCCCACTACATTCGCTGCATAAAACCAAATGAAACTAAGAAGCCGAGAGACTGGGAGGAAAGCAGGTATGGGGGGAACCAGCTTGGGTGGGGCCGGCACATTTTTCCCTGTGCTCAAGGTGAGCCATTCTCCATCGCAGGCAGGAGCAGTGTCAATTGCTGGCACATGTCTTTGTCATGTCCTTGTGGCTTAACTTCTTCAGGACAAAGGCTATATACTGCTTCCCCTGTGTCACTTCCTAAAATGTTAGCGGTGCCATTCTTTTCAGAATTAGCAGTTTATAATGTTGATCTTGGCTAGTCTGGGGGCAGATAGAAAAAAAAACAAAACCAAAATATAACCACATACTGCCGAGTCATGATGGTCTTAAAATCAGTTTGAGGCTCTGCGTAGACATTCTGAGTACACGCAGCTCCTGACCGGGACCCACAGGATGCAGCCTAGAATGCTTAGCCTGGGGTGGAAAGTGAAGGGCTCAAGAGCTGGCAGAAGCACAGTCCAGTATTTGTTGTGCCTCATGAAGACACTGGGGACTCGCCGGCTCTAGCATTCCCCCTAAGTACCCTGTTGATGAGCAGAATGGCTCTGGGAGGAATGATGTCCAGCGGAAATTCCACAAGAATTCAGCGAGCCCTTTCTGCCCCGACTTCCAAGGAAAACTGTGTCACTGTTCCTTCCACAGCTAGCATTTAGGGAAGTGGTCTGGGCAGAAGGAAATGGTGGCACTGAGTAGGAGCCGGTTAAGGTGGTGCCTAGAAGGTGGGAATTTTGTGTTTCACCGGGGGACCCAGACACACATTGTTCAGAGGCCTGATCCCACTGTCCACAGAAGCCTGGGAAGGAGGCTGCAGAGACGCTTCAACTACAGAGAGGACCCCAGCCATCACCACCTAACATCAGTCCCCAGATGGGAGCCCGCCAGAATTGCTACCTCTTGTCTTCTCTCTTGGAGAAGAGAAGATAGGTTCTTTTAGGTGTCAAGTGACGAGCTCCAGGTTTAGCTTCCACAGCATCACCAGGACTAAAATTCCTAGCTGCCGATTACCTCCTGGGAGAGACGGGACTCCTGCTTTAGACTCAGAGGGTAGCAGCAGGGTCATCTCTTCCCATCTAAAGATGTAAGATGCTTACACCCAGGAGTTTGAAGCTGCAGTGAGCCGTGATTGAGCCACTGCACTCCAGCCTGGGTGACAGAGTGAGACCCCAAGGCAGGCAGTCAATCAAATAGAAAATACTTTGTTTTGCCCTCTTACGTTGGTTCTCAAACTTGAGCATTCCTCAGAATCCACAGGAGGCCTTGTTAACGCTCAGATTGCTGGGCTCCACCCCGGGTTTCTGATGCAGTAGGCCTCAAGTGGGGCCCATGAATGTGCATCTGAAAAGTCTTGCAGGTGGTGCTGGTGCTGACGGCTCAGGTACTGCACTTTGAGAGTCGCTGATCCAGAGCAAAGAACTAGACTGGGATTTGAAGACCTGTGTCCTGGTGATGACCTGTCACGAAGTCGTTAGAGTGAGACGCTTGGTCTCCTTAGCCCTCAGTTTTTTCCTCTTCAGAGGCTCCATCTAGAATAGGATCTCCTTCAGTCTGACAGAATGAAGGCTGTCAGTCTGCCTCTGTCTCTGTCACTTTTACACTCACCCCTCACACATACCCACACGTACACAGTGCACCCACACATGCATCTACAGGTACACACACATGATAGAACAGTGGTGTCACAGGTAACCTTAGAAATAAATCATGACAGTTTTGGAAACAGAGGTATTGCCAAAGGGTCCCTTAGCCCATCTTTCCCCATTTCAAACTCTATCCATCTTCCCTTCCCAGCAAATACTCTCAAATAAAACATCTCACTTAACCTACAAATGCAGTACCTCCCCTAGCATCCCCTCCTCTACCCCACATAGCTAGTTCTGCTGAATGCCCCTTGAAAATAGAAATTTTGCAATAGCCGCTTGGAAGTTTACCAACCCTGATGCTACCTTCTTGTAAAAATCCAGCTTGAAAATTAGCTGGGCACAGTGGCGCGCACCTGTAGTCCCAGCTACTCAGGAGGCTGAGGCAGGAGAATTGCCTGAACCCAGGAGGCGGAGGTTGCGGTGAGCCGAGATCACGCCATTGCACTCCAGCCTGGGTAACAAGAGCGAAACTCTGTCTCAAAAAAAAAAATCCAGCTTGATTCATTGGAGTATCAGAAAAGGGACAAGTTAACAGTGGTACATTTTATTCAGTAAGTCCTCATAGGGTGAGGAGGGCATTTTCTCTTTTCTTTTTCTTAATGATTCCCCTTCTTTGAATTGCAGCCAAGAATTTTATGACATGCATTCAAGTAAACTGGGTTTAAGAAGCGGAAGGTATTAGTTGGTCAAGCGTTGATCTATAATCCCAGTAGGATCGCTTTCCGGGATTCCACCCTTAATCCTGCTTTGGGTTTATTGTGTGACAGATGGTTTCACTCCGTCCATGAGTCAGGGGCGTTGGGGTCCGTGAAAGGGCATGTGCTTCCCTGGCCGGGATTACACACCCAGTTGAAGCTCCTGGTGGAGAGGGTTACTCATTCCACAAGTTTTTGGGGTGTGAGGATTGTCCTTTCCTGTTGCAAATGTGTTTCTGTTTGGCTTCTGGCAAGGTTGCTTGCCCTGGATTCTGAATTGCTGGCTTGCAGGGTTCTCCAGCCCTGATCAATTTGAGTAAATGGCCAGGGAGAGTCTTGGAAAAAGACTCCTCTGCAAGACGAAGTTGGCATAACCTAGGGAACAACTGGGTGTTGTTTGACCAGTGACTACTGAGGAGGTGACAGTGCCCCAGAAATATGTAAAAATCAACTTGGGTCCCTCTGATGACCCAGAATTTTAAACATTACAGGACTTGCTAGACTGGTGAGCCTGCTGAAGGGAATTTCTACAAGAAAATTTCATGATGGTGAGAGTTATGGTGAATGAAATAATGTTTTAACATGAGGAATATTCCTTCTTATGTGATTCATGGGAAAGGAACGTTTCTGCTTGAATTAGTGGGTGAAGCATTCCCTGCCTCAAAAGCTTGGCGTAAAGCCAGTATTTATGAAAAGTACTTCAAAATGAGTAGAACCCTGAAATGAACAGCCTCGTGCATTTTTCTCACTAGAGAAAAGGCTAGTGGTGAGTTTTAGATTTGGAGGATGAGAAAAAGGAAAATTAATTATTTTTAAATGTAAATTTAATTACCTTTTTAGCTGACATGATATTTCTCTCTCGCTCTCTCTCCCCCTCTCTGCCTGACTTATATGGGCAAATTAGATATTGAATATTAACTCTTTTTATATAGAGGCTTTTTAAAAGTTAATAGTCTTAGAGGAGGCTAGGCGCAGTAGCTCACACCTGTTATCTCAGTACTTTGGGAGACCGAGGCGGGTGGATCACAAAGTCAGGAATTCGACATCAGCCTGACCAATGTGGTGAAACCCTGTCTCTACTAAAAATACAAAAATTAGTCAGGTGTGGTGGTGCACGCCTATAATCCCCATGCCACTACAGTCTACTCTGGACAACAGAGATTCTATCTCAAAAAATGAAATAAAATAATAACAATAATCTTAGAGGAATCAACATTTCTGGCTGTTGCCTCCGTAAGACCCATCAAATGGGAAACTCTTAAACACCGCTCCCATTGTGACCTCATCCTTCCCATCAGCCAAGGCTGTGCCCCTGACTTCGAGCTTCATCTGTCCCCCTCCTACTGTCCCACAGCCCCCATCACTGGCCTTTCCTGTCCTCGTGCCTTCTGCCTTGTCCTCTGCACCTCATGGATTCAGCTCCTCCCTCCAGGCCCAGGCGTATCACAGTGTTCCTGAGAATTCCCTGCAGTACAAGATTCATTTCCTTCTGTATTCCCCTATCCTGGTGTACCTACTGAAGCTGGGAATGGGTGAGAATAATAGCAGCTTTACATCACTCATGCTAGGAACTAAGTGCTTTCCCTAGAAAGTACCCATCTGGAAATAAAGAATCTATGCCACCATTGTCATTTTTACAGAAGAGGAGACTGAGAGGCACAGAGAAGTTGCAGCATGGCAGGGCCCGCGGCACAGCAGGAACAACGTGCCAGAGCCTGGCTCCTCACCACTGTGCTGCCTGCCTGGGCCCCAGCGGGAAATCAGAGCATTGTCTTTTTTTGGTGACCCTAGCATGTTGCGGTAGGGACGTCAGGAAGCATGAGGCTTAACTGGAAATGGTGTTTTCTGTGAGAGCCTCACTAAGGAGACAGGTGTCGGGAACCTGTGTGACATCAGAATGCACGATGCTTTCTGCTCCAGAAAGGCCCGTTTTGCTGAGTGCATTAGCCCAGTTAGCACGATCAGCACAGATAACCCCAAAGGTACCGAACGGGGAGCATGAGGAGTCACCTCCGTACTGCAGCACAGTGATGACATTCCACCTTCAAAAGAGAGAGTCTTGACTTTTTATGTCTAATTTTCCTCAAATGCCATGTTTCCAGGTGTCTGTATTGAGCTCAGGCCCCGTTTGTCTTCCCAGAGTGGATGATCTGAAGCAGGTGTTGAGGCTCTGTCTCTCGGAAGCTAGAACACTGTGCTTCCCAGCAAGTGGTGGGTTTTCACAGGGTACATGTCCGGGCTTCAGCCTAGACCCAGCAGGCCTAGTAAAACAGCATCCCCGAGGCGTGAGGCATGGGGCATTTTCTGATATGAAAACCTTCGTGTGTGAGAATATTAACCTAATAGTTCTTTACATCCATTTTTCAAAAAACATTGCTAGATTTTTACTATTAAGAAACCAGGATAGTCCAGGCATGGTGGATCACCTGAGGCCAGGAGTTCGAGACCAGCCTGGCCAACATAGCAAAACCTCATTGCCACTAAAAAATACGAAAAACTAGCCGGGCGTGGTACACGCCTGTAGTCCCAGCTACTTGAGAGACTGAGGCAGGAGAATCACTTGAACCCACGAGGCAGAGGTTGAGATGAGCCGAGATTGTGCCGCTGCACTCCGGCCTGGGTGACAAAGCAAGACTGTGTCTCCAAAAAAAAACAAAAAAAAGAAAAGAAAAGAAACCAGGCCAGGTGCAGTGGCTCATGCCTGTAATTCCAGCACTTGGGAGGCCAAAAGAAGCTAATCAGTTGAGTTCAGGAGTTTGAGACTAGCTTGAACCAAGTTGCAAAACCCTGTCTCCAAAAAGTACATAAATTAGCCAGGTGTGGTGGTGCACTGCTACAGTCCCAGTTAGTCAGAAGCCTCTAGTAGTAGGGTCACCTGAGTCTGGGGAGGTCGAGGCTGCAGTGAGCCATCATGTCACCATCCTCTAGCCTGGATGACAAAGTGAGACCTTGTCTCAAAAAAAAAAATTTAAGAAAGAAGAAAACAATTAAAACGATAATTTAGATATATTTTGGACTATTTTTAATGCACACACTGAAAATCAATAGTTTTATATGCTCTTTTGTAACTTGTATTAGAAAAACCTGGAAGTGTAGTTTCATTAAATAAGAATCAATATTTAAAAAAAAAAATCAATATTAAATTTAAGTTCAATAACAAATTTATTTGATTTGTTTGATTCATAAGTTAAAAGTTCTTTCCCTTAGCCTTTTGATAAACCATATTTTTGTTCATACTCTAGGTGATAGGTAGATGGGTCTTTGTGTTACTATTGTTTTTTGTAACAGATATGTAATGCTGAATTGCTGGGGGGTTTTCTTGGAGATGGAGTCTCACTCTGTTGCTCAGGCTGGGGTGCCGTGGCACGTTCTTGGCTCACTGCAACCTCTGCCTCCTGGGTTCAAGCATTTTCCTGCCTCAGCCTCTCAAGTTGCTGGGACTACAGACATGCACCACCACGCCTGGCTAATTTTTTGTATTTTTAGCAGAGACAAGGTTTCACCATGTTGACCAGGCTGATATTGAACTCCTGACCTCAGCTGATCCGCCTGCCTCGGCCTTCCAAAGTGCTGGGATTACAGGCATGAGCCACCACCCCTGGTGTAATTGCTGTATTTTGATATTTTAAAATTAGCATTGTGTCATCTGAGAGGTCAGCCAGTGTCTGAATCCTACAAATTGTAGTCTCTTGAATAAATTTCCCTACAGCGTGGACCTGGGGGCTTGGGGAGTGGCGGGTAAGAACACAGGTGAAAGCATCGCCCAGTGACTTCCAGGCCCCATTTTCTCCTCTGCGCAGGGTAAAGCATCAAGTCGAGTATCTGGGTCTGAAAGAGAACATCCGAGTGAGAAGAGCTGGTTACGCCTATCGGCGCATCTTCCAGAAATTCCTACAGAGGTAATGAACTGGCGACTCTTACCTTTTTAAAAACAGGTGTATTGCGCTATAATTCAAACTCTGTGCCGTTCACCTACTTCACGTGTTTTTACACCTACTGTCAATGGCTTTTAACATATTCACGGAGTCGTACCACTATCGCCACGTTTTCTTACCTGGAAAGGAAGTCCCGTTTCCTTTCGTTGTCAACCCCCGGTTCTCCCCTCGCCTCCGGCCCCAGTGGGTCATTCTTCTACTTTCTGTCTCTATAGATTTGCCTATCTGGGTTGGTTTTTTTTTTTTTGAGACAGAGTCTTGCTCTTTTGCCCAGGCTGGAGTGCCCTGGCGCAGTCTCAGCTTCCTGCAACCTCCACCTATCAGGCTCAAGCGATTCTGCTGCCTCAGCCTCCCAAGCGGCTGGGATTACAGACATGTGCCACCATACCCGGCTAATTTTTGTGTTTTTAGTAGAGATGGGATTTCACCACGTTGGTCACGCTGGTCTCACACTCCTCACCTCGTGATCCGCTGACCTCGGCCTCCCAAAGTGCTGGGATTCCAGGTATGAGCCACCGTACCCGGTCTGTGCTGGGCTTTTCTTTTCTTTTCTTTTTTCTTTTTTTTTTTTTTTTGAGATGGAGTTTCGCTCTCGTTACCCAGGCTGCAGTGCAATGGCGCGATCTCGGCTCACCGCAACCTCCGCCTCCTGGGTTCAGGCAATTCTCCTGCCTCAGCCTCCTGAGTAGCTGGGATTACAGGCACGTAGCACTATGCCCAGCTAATTTTTTGTATTTTTAGTAGAGACGGGGTTTCACCATGTTGACCAGGATGGTCTCGATGTCTTGACCTCGTGATCCACCCGCCTCGGCCTCCCAAAGTGCTGGGATTCCAGGCGTGAGCCACCGTGCCCCGCCCTGTGCTGGGCTTTTCATAGCAGTGGAATCGTATGTGTCCTCTGTGACTGGTGTCTGTCACTGAACATAAGATTCATCCATGTTGTTGCACTTCCGCACTTGCTTCCTTAGCTGTGGAATAATATTCCATCGCGTGGACACACTACAGTTTACTTATTCGTGCATGAGCTGAAAAACTCAGTCGTTTCCACTTCTTGGCATTTCCCTTTTAGGAGAAACTGCCTGATGGTTTTCTGCAGCTGCATAATTTTACGTGTTATACCCTCAGCCGTATTTGAGGCCTCCAATTCACGTAAATCCTTGCCCACGTAGGTTATTTTCTGTCCCTCCCAGTGAGTGTGCTGTGGTATCGAATGGTGCTTTTGATTTGCATTTCCCAGATGGCAAATGATAGTGGGCATTTTTTCATGTGCTTATTAGCCATTTGTATTTCCTCTTTGGAAAAATGTCTGTTAGGCCCTTTGCCCATTTTTTAATTGGGTGTTTTGTCTTTTTATTATTGCATTGTAATAACAGTTCCTTTTTTACCATTATTTATTGTAGAATAAATCAGTAGCCGTAAGTGTTCATTAGGCTGTCTGTTTAGTGTAACACATAAGTTAAAGAATTCATGATTAATCGTGCCACAGGAGTGGCGAAGGTTTAACCTGGCTGAACAAATTAACAGTATGAAGACAATTTCGGGAAAATATTTAACCCACTTAAGACCTTAAGTTTAAAATATTTAACCTCAGAAATTCTGTTGTTTTTGCATATCCCTCAACATGTGTTTGGCAGGACCTATACTTAAATGGTTGTTGTTTTTTTTTTTTTTTTTGAGACGGAGTTTTGCTCTTGTTACCCAGGCTGGAGTGCAATGGCGCGATCTCGGCTCACCGCAACCTCCGCCTCCTGGGTTCAGGCAATTCTCCTGCCTCAGCCTCCCGAGTAGCTGGGATTACAGGCACACGCCACCACGCCCAGCTAATTTTTTGTGTTTTTAGTAGAGACGGGGTTTCACCATGTTGACCAGGATGGTGTCGATCTCTTGACCTCGTGATCCACCCGCCTCGGCCTCCCAAAGTGCTGGGATTACAGGCATGAGCCACCGCACCCGGCCGAATGGTTCTTATTTTGTGTCGTTTGTAAAAGGGTAAAATTTACTGCCCCTAAAATGTTACATCACTGTAACTTCCCTAATGATTCTGTGGCATTCCGCTGTGCTTTCTACATCCATTTAATTTCCGTTAAGGAACAGGGAAACAAAAAAGAAGCCAAATGTAGTGTTGTATTTATTTGTTTAGAGACAAGGTCTTGCTCTGTTACTCAGACAGGAGTGCAGTGGTACAATCACAACCCACTGTGTCCTTGAACCCCTGAGCTCAAGCCCTCATCTCCCATCTCAGTCAATGCGTAGCTAGTACTATCGGCATGCGTCACCATGCCCAGGTCATTTTTCACTTTTGGTAGAGACATGGTCTCACTATGTTGCCCAGGCTGTTCTCAAGTGGTCCTCCCACCTCAGCCTCCCAAAGTGCTGGGATTATCAGCATGAGCCACCATGCCTCATCAAATTTAGTATTTGAATCAGAAACAATTACATCTTCCTGATTTATTTTGCAGGGCTGGATATAATGATTTTTAAAAAATTAGGTGGTATATAACAGAGAACCAGTAGACTGAAGGACAGGTTAATTACTGTCTTTGGAATCTAGTATTTCTAATAACACGGTTCTTCTTTAGGGCTGTTGTTTCTTGTGCTACGAGATTAGGACAGCTGACTCACCATGTAGAGGTTTTTTTACAAAGGGCTAATTGGCTGGACACCACCGCTCTTGCCTGTAATCCCAGCACTTTGGGAGGCCGAGTTGGGCAGATCACCGGAGGTCAGGAGTCCAAGACCAGCCTGAACAACATGGAGAAATCCCATCTCTACTAAAAATACAAAATTAGCTGGGCATGGTGGTGCATGCCTGTAATCCCAGCTACTCAGGAGGCTGAGGCAGGAGAACTGCTTGAAGCTGGGAGGTGGAGGTTGTGGTGAGCTGTGATCGCGCCATTGCACTCCAGCCTGGGCAACAAGAGCGAAACTCTGCCTCAGAAAACAAAACGGGGGGGGGCTGATCATTTCGTATAATAAACCCTCATAAACTCAGTCTCCAACATTTGAGTTTCCTAATAATTTTGGAGGTAAATTAGACTAGGAACAAGGTTCACCCTCTCTGTTCTCTGAATTAAAGAGGTCAGTACATCTATAGTGTAAGCAGAACTATGCGAAAGAAGTAATTTAAGAAGTTGAGAAAATACAGAGCTTTTGCGTCAGCATAGTACCATCCATTTACTGACAGACAACTGGGATGTTCGTTAGGAGACGTCCTTAAAGAGATTAGTAGCACAGGCTTAGAGCCTCAGACGCTGGCATTTTAGGCTGGAAGACTCTGCTGCGGGATCTGTCCTGTGTACTGCAGGGATGCTTAGCAGCTTCCGTGGCTTCCACCCAGTAGATGCTGGTGGTGTACCTTTCTCTGAGCTGTGGCATCCAAAAGTATATCCAGACATTGACTGATGTTCCCCCTATAGGGCACAGTCAGTTGAGGAACTTCGGCTTAGATCATCATTTTAGAATTTATATTTATTTTTTTAGAGATAAGGTCTCTCTTGTGGTCTTAAACTCCTGGGCTTGAGAAGTCCTCCTGCCTTAGCCTCCCAAACTGCTGGGATTACAGGTGTGAGCTACCATGCCCAGCACAAAAATACCCTTTTTTAATTAAGAGTTGCCAGGCGCAGTGGCTCACACTTATAATCCCAGCACTTTGGGAAGCTGAGGCAGGCAGATCTCCTGAGGTCAGGAGTTTGAGACCAGCCTGGCGAACTTGGTAAAATCCTATCTCTACTAAAAATACAAATATTAGCCAGGTGCGGTGGCATACACCCGTAGTCCCAGCTGCTTGGGAGGCTGAGGCATGAGAATCACTTGAACCAGGGAGGCGGAGGTTACAGTGAGCTGAGATGGTGCTGTTGCACTCCAGCCTGGGTGACAGAGTGAAACTCCATCTCAAAACAAATTCCACATGCAAAAGAAACAGTCAACAAAATGAAGAGACAACCCACAGATTGGGAGAAAATGTTTGCAAACTTTCCATCTGACAAGGGATTAATAACCGGAATATAGAAGGAGCTCAAACATCTTTGTGGGGGAAAAAATAGAATAATCCAATCACAACAGTGAGCAAAAGTTCTCAATAGGCATTTCCCAAAAGGAGTCATGCAAATGGCAAACAGGCATATGAAAAAGTGTTCAGTATCATTGATCGTCAGGGAAATGCAAAATAAAACTACAATGAGGTGTTATCTCACCCAGTTAAAATGGCTTTGACCCAAAGACAGGCAGTAACACATGTTGGCAAGGATGTGGTAAAAGGGAACCATCATACGCTATTGGTGGGAATGTAAAATAGTGTGACTATGGCTGGGCAGATGGCTCATGCCTGCAATCCCAGCACTTTGGGAGGCCAAGGCAGGCGGATCACGAGGTCAAGAGATTGAGACCATCCTAGCCAACATGGTGAAACCCTGTCTCTACTAAAAATACAAAAATTAGTTGGTTGTGGTGGTGTGCACCTAAAGTCCCAGCTACTTCGGAGGCTGAGGCAGAGGAATCGCTTAAACCCAGAAGACAGAGGTTGCAGGGAGCCGAGATTGTGCCGCTGTGCTCCAGCCTGGCAACAGAGCAAGACTCGGTCTCAAAAAAATAAAAATAAAAATTAGTTCTTTGGGAGGCCGAGGCAGGTGGATCGTGAGGTCAAGAGATCGAGACCATCTTGGTCAACATGGTGAAACCCCGTCTCTACTAAAGATACAAAAAATTAGCTGGGCATGGTGGCACGTGCCTGTAATCCCAGCGACTTGGGGCGCTGAGGCAGGAGAATTGCCTGAACCCAGGAGGCGGAGGTTGCGGTGAGCCGAGATCGTGCCATTGCACTCCAGCCTGGGTCACAAGAGCGAAACTCGGTCTCAAAAAAAAAAATAAATAAATAAACATAAATTAGTTTAATGACTATGGGAAACAGTTCGGACATTCCTCAAAAAACTAGACATAGAGCTCCCGTATGATCCAGCAATCCCACTCCTAGGTATAGACCCAAAAGAAAGGAAATCAGGATATCAAATAGGTATCTTCACTCCCATGTTTATGGCAGCACAATTCATTTGGAAGCATCTATCAACAGGCAGGTGAATAAATAAAATGTGATACAGGCTGGGTGCAATGGCACACACCTGTAATCCCAGCCCTTTTGGAGGCCAAGGCAGGTGGATCACTTGAGATCAGGAGTTCAAGATCAGCCTGGCCAACATGTTGAAACCCTATCTTTACTAAAAATACAAAAATCAGCCTGGTATGGTGGCCCATGCCTGTAATCCCAGTTATCCAGGAGCTGAGGTGGGAGGAATGCTTGAACCTGGGAGGCAGAGGCTGCAGTGAGCCAAGATTGTGCCACTATACTACAGCCTGGGTGACGGAACAAGACCCTGTTTCAGACCAAAAAAGAATAAAAGAAAATGTGATACACATACATAGTGGATGCTCTGAAGGTAATTGAACCATCTCGTAACTTTATTTTCTCCAAAGGTGAGAGGAAAGTCTTCATAAAGTTTCTTTCTAGGTGTCCACAGAAAGGCTGCCAAATGAGAAATAGAAAGTAAAAGCCTGAAGGGAAAGGATCTATTAATACCCAGCACAACTATCCACATATGCCTGTATTATTCACCCTTTCTAGAAAGGAGGATCACAGGCCTAAACAGAGGCATGGCTCAGAGACTACTCAGAGCATAGTGTTGTCGTAGGAAATATTCTGTGTGTTCAGTGTGTGTTCATTTCCTCTCTGGCAAATCCTTTATATTTATCAAAACTGTTCCTCTTGACTGAATATTGGAGAGCAAAATTCAAAAGATACCTTAATACCCTCACAGGTGGGCCCCATGCTCTTGTAAGTCCTGTGCCATTTGAAGCAGTAATAGGAAGAACCCTCGTACACTATCTTTGCACTACAATTTTTATACCTTTAGAAAGTGTCAAAAAACTGTTAGAAATAGCAGCCATGTTACATCTTGGAAAATATCTTTAAGTTCTCTAGAAAACACCTCTCTGAGCTAGGCAATGTGTGTTTCTTTCTGTGGCTGTCAGAAATAAACCCAAATGTGGATTCTGATGCTTACGAAGAAGAATGTGGTAGGAACATAACAGATTTGCAAAGTTTATCTTGTAGCATGATTTATACTTCCCCCCCAGCATGCTTGCTCTCACCTTGACCTAGCCTCTCGGAATGTGGGGATGATAAAGGAATGCCTTGTCAGCAAAGGCTTTCTACGTCAATGGCAAGAGAAAAGGAAGAACAGGAAGCCCAGGAAAGCACAGAGTGGTAGAGCGCTTCCTCCAGGCTGCCAGGATTGTGTCCTTGGAGGTCAGAAACATCCTTAATCTCAAGTACCAACAGCTGAGAGTCCCTGGGGCCTGAGCTGCATTTCCTCTGAGAAGGAAACATTGGATCAGTGGTCCAAGAGATAACAAGAGCAGGGAAGAGAATTCCAGGCAGAAAGAGCAGCCAGCACAAAGGCCTTGAGAGGACATATTTGAGCCTTAAACTGTGAAGAAAGGAATGTTAGTTATTATCACCATCTGTCCAAAATTATCACAGGTGTCAATCAGGCAGGGCACCATTGCCCTGTGCAACCTGCTCCCACAAGTATCCTAGGGAAAGATATTGGCCTGGGTGCACTTTGGTAGGAGAACATTGTGCTAGGTCTGTCCCCAGTGGGAGACCAAAGGATGGGCTGAGGATGTATCAGGCTTCATGAAAGCAAAGGAAGTCCCAGGCAATTCCCATGTATTGCCAAGACCCTCATTACTGGAGGCGTTGTCAGGATGAGAGAGAGAAAGTCTCTGCAAGGTTCATTACAGTAAAAAAGAGAGAGAGAGAAACGCAGCATTAATTTTGTAGGAAAAAATGTGAATTGCCATAAAGACTGATTTCCAGTTGCATGATAAAAATAGTTTATAATTGTAGGTTAGATCAAGCCAGGCAAAATTGTACTCTTAGAAGCTTGTCACCGTGGAAGTCTAGTCTTTTCCTTCTCACTGCTACCCTCCATGAACTTTCTGCCTCACCCAGTTAGATTCCCAGCACCTTCCTCATTTCCACGAACTCCCCCAATCGCATCTAGAAAGATTCTGCTCTTGGTCATTTATTGGTGGCTTAATTTGTTTTAATTAACATCATTATACCGTATACAAAACTTATTCGTGCTAATGTGTGAGTTCCACTAAGCATTTTCATTTTTAAGCTTTTGATCTGTAATTAGGGAAGAGGAGGACTTTCCTCTTCAGGAAGTTTCTGATATCGTCAGGCAAGATGATGCACACATTTGAGAGGAGCAGAGAAGGCTCCTGAAATCACCTTAGTCCCAACCAGCCGGCTCTGTGGGACCTCTGGGTCCTGAAGGAGGGCCACTGAAGGTTCCCTTCTCCCTCTGCTGTCATAAATCAGTCTAATCCTGATAGTAGTTTCTGGGGACAAAGGGGGGCCCTGGCTTCACTCAAGGCCTGGGGGCCTGTTTCCTGGGCCCTGGATGTGCGGGCACATGGGCCATGCCCTCCAACTTCACACCCACATTCCCACAATTATTCTGTCCGTACTTGGCATCCTATGATGTGCTTGTCTCTGCTTTATTCTGTCAGCCTCTGACATAATAATCATGGTTCTAACATAGGCATGTGTGTTAGACTGGATCCTCTTTAAAGGAGATATCTAAAGATGAACCACTCCATGGCTTTTCTGCAGTGCCATAGTGAAAGAGACACAGATGCAGACCCATCTCTGACACCAGCTAAGTAGCTTTGGGCAAGTCATAATTTGCCTGTGTCTCCTACTCTGCAAAATGAAAAACCAACCTAGTCAGGTTGCTATAGGAATAAGGAATCCTACATCAAAAGCTGCAATCACAGCACCAGATGCAGAGAGAGCACCCCTCCACGTTAGCCCGGAGTGTTCGTTATGATTGTTGTGTGCCAGGTATGGTTTAAGGCTCTGGGTATGCATGAGGGAACCACACAGATGTGGCATGCGGTCTCCTGGAGCCCTCACCTTCATGCGGGAGGCATATATTAACCAAATAAACACCAATATGAATATAACTACAATGAGAGTACATGCTCTGAGGGAAAAATGTTACTTGCTATGAGAGAAACTAACAAGGGAGCAGTTTTTGATCTTTGGTCCAAGAAGGGCTGTCTGGGAGTGCCACTGAAGGTGAGACAGCCAAGTGGGAGGCAGCAAGCGATGAGTTTGGGGAACAGCACCCCAATTGAGAGAAGAGCAGGGGCAGAGGCTCCGAGGAAGGAAAGAGCATGGTGGGCATGAAGAATAGGCCATTCTCCAAGAAATGCAGCAAGCCGCAGTGAGAGTGAAGAGGCGAGGCTGGAGAATAGTCAAGGACCAGATCCCAAGGGCCTCGTCACCCAGATGCACAAAATTTCAAAGGTGAAAGTTGATACACAGTTGTCTTAATAGCTGGTTAGCAGGAGCTTTATAAAACTCTTTGCATTAATTGTTAAATGCCCTGAAGAAATCAGGGGAGATTTATTATTGAGACAAGACCATTTGATTTTGCCTGAAGAGCATTCCTGGTGACCTTCCACGATGCTATTTTTAGACAGTGGTAGAAACAGTACGCAGCTTTTCCCAGGGTGTTAACGTGGGAATGCTGGAAGAGGGAAGGAGTGGGAGGCAGCTCCAGAGCAGGCATCCCAGACTCGGGATTTCTGCAGTCGTCACGGTCCATCCCTTTCAATAGCTGGTGGATGGATGATCAGTGTCTGCAGCACTGGGCACCTTCGGAGCAGAGCTCTTGCTGCCTCACCTGTGTAGAAAAGAGGCGTAGTCCCTCCCGAGTCTGATCCTCTTCTCCCCGTTGTGCCCACAGGTATGCCATTCTGACCAAAGCCACCTGGCCCTCTTGGCAAGGAGACGAGAAGCAAGGCGTCCTGCATCTGCTGCAGTCAGTCAACATGGACAGCGACCAGTTCCAGCTGGGGAGGAGTAAAGTGTTCATCAAAGCCCCCGAGTCTGTGAGTGCCTGGCTGCCTCTCCACCCTCTTCCCTCCCGCAGGGCGCCCCCCAGCCCTGCCGCACCCCGCAGCTGGCTTCTTTTTCTCATTCATGCCAATCAGTGTTGTCTCCTCAAAGAAGCCTTCCCTTCCTCCCCAGTCTAAGTGGGTCCTTCGCTAGACACCAGCTCTCTATAGCCCATCAGTGCCCCATTCATCTCCTGCAGAGCAGTGAGCGGGCAGGAAAAGGGGCAGCGGGGAGTGGCTGCTTCCTCACTCACTGTCTCGCTGCTCTCTAGCTGCTACACTCCTTCAGGGCAGGGACTCTTTGTTCCATGTGTCTTTATATGCCCCTAAGTGTCACATAGAAAATGCTCAAAAGAGCCAGGCATCGTGGCTCACACCTTAATTCCAGCACTTTGGGAGGCCAAGGCAGGCAGACCCCCTGAGGTTGGGAGTTCAAGACCAACCTGACCAACATGGTGAAACCTTGTCTGTATTAAAAGTAGAAAAGAAAATACTCAGTGGTTACTCAGTCTCTAAGAGTATCTAAGCTAAAGAGGGACTTCTGTGTCCCACCCAAAGTTTGTTGACACCAAGTCAGTTACACACAGGCTCAGGATTCCTCCTGGAAGGCGCAGCAGAGTGCCACGTGGGAATTCCCAGGATTGTTCTAGAAGGCCATTGGGGGGCTAGAAAGGACTGTGAGGGGGAAAATAGGTGGAGGAGAAATCTCTGGTTTACAGCACACAATACTTAACAGTAAGGCATTCATAATACACGTTTACAGGTCACAAACTGATCAGACCTCTGCAGCTTCATTTAGAGACACTTCTTTCTTTCCTGATGAGGGTGTGGTCAGTGAGCCCCATGAATGTCCACAGGAAGTTCTGTCCAGTTCTTCTGCCCAGTTCACTCCAGGGCTGTGGAATAAAGACCTTTATTGCTTTTTAAGCTGGAGAAACTGCTGGGCCCGAGGTTGGGCAGCATCGTTTCTCGAGGCTCCCGTAACCATCACAAGACCCCATTTCAAGAGTCAGTGATGAACCTGGCAGAAATCAGTCATCAGACCAAGGGGAAATCATACGGGAACTCACAGTAAAAAGGGAAGCATTTGACTCCAGGCAGATCCCAGTCCTGCAGTTAGTTTTCTTCTCTAAGGTGGGCCCCACAGCCACTGTTCTCCCTGCCTTAGAGGATCAGCCCGAGGTTCAGGAATAATAGGGGCCGTAACTGAATGGCTTTGCGAGACATCAAGATTATTAAATAGATAAGTGACACACAGAGATGGAACCTATTTATGAAGCATTTGTGGTAGCATTTTTCCACTTTGAGTTATTTGTAGCATCACAAGAATTTCATTTCCAAATATAAAGTGAAAATGTTGTGTCATTCGCCATTAAGCAACCCACAGAACAGTTCCTGTTCTTTCTAAAATGGGATGGGGTGATTTATCGGCTCGATGCAGAACCCCTTGTCTCATACCCACTCTTACTTTTCAACTTGCGAGATTTTCATACATAATTAAATCAGCCTCACTATTTGGAAAACGTTTTTCTTTTCTGATTCAGTTGTGTTGGAGGGGTTTATATTTCAAGATCGAGATTTATTTTTGGCTGTCCTTTTCCTTGCCTTACAGTCAGCTGTGTATTTGACTTTTTTTTGCCTTACCGTTATTTGACTCTCCTTCCCCCCATCTTTGACCCATGCGCTCACACATGCACGCCCTCCCCTCTGCATTCTCCCCTGCCCCAAACGCATCCATCCACATCTAGCCCTGATGTGCAAATACTTTCATAAAAGTTGGTTTTTAAAATCTGGCTGGGCACAGTGGCTCATGCCTGTAATCTCAACACTTTGGGACGCTGAGATGGGAGGATGATGACTTAAGGCCAGGAGTTCAAGACTGGGCAACTCAGCAAGACCCCATCTCTAAAAAAAAAAAAAAAAAAAATTAGCTGGGTGTGGAGGCTGAGGTGGGAGGATCACTTGAGCCCAGGAGTTGAAGGTTACAGTGAGCCATGATTGTACCACTGCAGTCCAGCCTGGGCAACAGATCAAGAAAGACCCTTTCTCTTAAAAAAGAAGAAAAACGGGCTGGGCGCGGTGGCTCACGCCTGTAATCCCAGCACTTTGGGAGGCCGAGGCAGGTGGATCACGAGGTCAAGAGATCGAGACCATCCTGGTCAACATGGTGAAACCCCGTCTCTACTCAAAATACAAAAAATTAGCTGGGCATGGTGGCGCGTGCCTGTAATCCCAGCTACTCAGGAGGCTGAGGCAGGAGAATTGCCTGAACCCAGGAGGCGGAGGTTGCGGTGAGCTGAGATCGCGCCATTGCACTCCAGCCTGGGTAACAAGAGCAAAACTCTGTCTCAAAAAGAAAAGAAATACTACTGTGTGGTTTTACCTTAATAGTAAATGTGCTGAATACACAAAATTACCCTTTTGCTTTCAGGACCCACATCGGGCACCACAGGGTCTGTTTTTGTTTTGTGTTCCATGTATTTGTGTTGGTGGCTTTTCTGTGTCAAGGTTGTTTGGTGGCGGTGGCGGTGGTGGTGGTGGTGGTGGTGGTGGTGGTTTGGTATGCTTCTTACCCTCCTCATCTGTGTTATCAAGGTTTTTCCCAAACCTCCCTAATTTCTAACCCCCTGGGATTTTCAAAAGAAATCTAAAACCCAGCGAATTTGGGAGATAGTCCCTAAGAGGTTGGGAATTGTTTGCCTCCTCTCCCTTTCTCTGAGTCACAAGTGTGTTCTCTGTGATACTCCCAAAATAGTTCTGGGAAAGAAGAAGGAAACAAGACGTACTCAGAAACCCAACACAGCAGATAAGAAGCATCAATAGATATTCTTACAACAGGCGGCTGCGGGGCTCAGATTTTAAGCATTCTCTCCAGTTGCTAATCCATGTATTCTGTTTTGGGGCTTAGAAATGTGTCCTTATGCCTGTTACATATGGCACTGCAGCCTGGGGAATGACGTGGCCACTCACCTGGGGTTTGGAGTTTGGGATGTTGTTTCTACAGAGGTGGAACTGTGAGAAGGAAAGAAGCTGAGTTGCAGGAGGGCATAGGTCTGGCTCCCAAGCACACACCCAGAGAAACAGAGACAACAAATCAACCCCAGCTGCCTTCACACTGCTTTGGCTTGTATACTCCTGGAACATTTCTGCAATGACTATTCATCATCTTTACTTTGGTTTTTTATTGTTTGATTTCATTTTTTTCCTGGAGAGTCATGTAAGCCACTCTTAAGGTAGATGAGAGAGTTTCCTACCATTTTACAAGTTGATCAAATGCAGATTTACAGACAAAGATTTGCATGTCAAAATGAGGAGGAGCCTGGCAGAGCCTGAAAGACCTAGGTTTACTTTCTAGCCCACCCAGTCTTTGTTCCAAAGTTCTCATCTATGAAATGGAGATGATGGAGGATGCGGCTCACGTAGCTTGGAGGTGTTGAGTGAAACTACATGGAGACCATCCAGGGTGACTCCTGCCCCATCGCGGGCACTCTGCTCACTACAGCTTGTTGCTGTCACCTTCATTATTCCAAAGCCTGGTTGTGGTGCAGTCATCAGCATTCATTGTTCAAATGGCCGGACTCTGATGACCTGCCAGAGGCTGATGTGGCCCCTGAACAGCCCCAGCCCTTTTGAGCAAATATAAGCCCTACCCAGCACACTTCAAGTCCAGCACCAGTCTTTGCGGTTATTATCCTCTGCTCCGCTACTCCTTAGTGAGCCCTGAGACAAGACGTCTATACTTCCTTGGAACTGAAAGTAGGGCAGCCCTCCCTCCACAGCAGCACAAGCGCTGCTCTTGCAGAAACTGGAAAATTCTGTTTAAAGGCTGCACGCTGAATTGCCACACCAAACAGCAGCAGCAGCCTCCACCCCACTCGCTTGATCTGGCTTCCTAATAATATCCTTCGGATCAAGGTGGGGAATAAGTGGACAGGCACTGAATCATCTGACTCTCAGACTATAGCAGGCAGGGCAAGGTCCAACTGAATACACTCAGATTCTGCTGTTTCCCATTGCTTTCCATTAAAAGAAAACAGGTATAGGTCATTCCATAGTGAGAATAAACAACATGCCACAGTAAGATCCCACATACTAGTTCGAGTCAGAGAAGCTGCTTCCCATGCGTGTCATTGTCTAACCTGAGTGTCCCTGGAATAACAAGAAAAGTGTTGTTCAGGTGTTGGGGTTTCGGGCTTGGCTCACATTTATCTTCTCTCCATTCACAGCTATTTCTTTTAGAAGAGATGAGAGAGAGAAAGTATGATGGATATGCTCGAGTGATACAGAAATCATGGAGGAAGTTCATCGCCCGCAAGAAATACGTTCAAATGAGAGAAGAAGGTAACTTAGCAGTGTTGTCTCATTCATTTTAACAGATCTGAAGAGTAAGTTTGAACTGGAGGTCTGAGTTCCATTTCATTCTGCTTATAATGTCACTCTAAAAATCTCGTATCATTTAGAGTTTCTTTGTATATTTCCACACTGTTTCCCTCCTTTGTCTTACTGACACGTCTCTCCTCCCTCTTCACCCTCGTGGGAATTGCAGCCTCAGACCTCTTACTGAACAAGAAGGAGAGAAGGAGAAACAGCATTAACAGGAACTTTATAGGGGATTATATTGGGATGGAGGAGCACCCAGAACTCCAGCAGTTTGTGGGCAAGAGGGAGAAGATCGATTTCGCAGACACAGTCACCAAGTACGACAGGAGGTTCAAGGTACGTGCTGACTGCCTGCCCTGAGATCACCACATTCCTTGTTTTTTTAAATAAGTTGTTATTTGGCTTTTGTTGTTACCAAAGCAGAACATGTTCATTGTAGAAAAATTTAGAAAAAAATACAGATAAAGCAAAAGAAAAACAGGCACCTGTGCCCAGAAACAGTCATTGTTAACATTCTGTGCTTATCCATATCTTTCACAACGTTTTTATGAAAACATACATTTGCATTTAGTTTTACAAAAAAACGAGATATATGTTGCGTGCTGTTTTATGTCCTGAGGCATTTTTTTGTTTGTTTTTTAAATAATGCCAGGGAGAATTTTCCATAGTAGCACATTTAGCAATGTAAATTATTTTACATGGCTGCATAGTATTCCATTTGACAGATGTTTTACTATTTTTAACCAGTTTCTCATGAATCAATTTTTAGTGAGTTTCTTTCTCTGTTACTATCATAACTTCAGTATCTTTTCACATATCTTTGTGTATTTGTCTCCTAATATTTTTAGAAGAAATTGAGAGGAGTGAAGTCGTTGAATGAAAAGATTCAGAATATCGAGTAATATTGCAGAGTACCCTCACCCATTTCCCGGAATGACTGATGAGTAAGGCTTTTCTAGCCGCAGGAGGAATGACTGATTTTTCACCTCCTCCCTTAGATAACTTTTAATGGAGTCTTGGCCCTAATAGAGAAATCCGAAGCTTCAGAAGCTGATGGACCCACTAAGAGCTTTCTGGTTTTTGGCGGGGGCTGGGAGATGAGGAGAAAAACGGAATGAAGTCAGCAGTGTGGAAGCATGCTGATTTGCTAAAACGAAACCATTCCTTTCAACCTGTGCATGGCACCAGCTGCTGTGATGGCAGCTCCAGACGCACACATGAGTGCTTAGCTCTCACAGCGGCACGCCTGATAAAGTGGTTACCCACATGTTCCCCAGGAGATTTATATGACGTTATCGAGAATTATCCAAATGAAAATTTAGCAGTATCTTAAAAAGAAAATTTTATAGACTCCCAGGCTGGGTGTGGTGGCTCACGCCTGTAATCCTAGCACTGTGAGGCCGAGGCAGGCAGATCACGAGGTCAGGAGTTTGAGACCAGTCTGACCAACATGGAGAAACCCTGTCTCTACTAAAAATACAAAATTAGCCAGGCATGGTGGCACGTGCCTATAATCCCAGCTACTTGGGAGGCTGAGGCAGTAGAATTGCTTGAACCCAGGAGGTGGAGGTTGCAGTGAGCTAAGATTGCATCACTATACTCCAGCCTGGGCAACAGGGCGAGACTCTATCTCAAACATGGAGTCCCAAAAAAATATATGCAGACCCTGCCCCCTGTTTAGACACATGCTGTAGCACATGATGGGTAAGCTCACCACAGGTGTCGGTGACTTTCCCTTTATACCTGCTGTCCTGATACTTCAGGTGACTCCATATGAGTTTGCCAATTTTTAAGTCAAAACGAGCCCGATGTCAGCATTTTTGTATACGTGGTAGTGAAGATGGACTGTCCAAAGCAGCTTCCACATGTGAATGGTTATCATCACATTGACCACCATGTCTGTCCACCTTTTTTTTTTTTTTTTTTTGAGATGGAGTCTTAGTCTGTTGCCCAGCGGCATGACCTTGGCTCACCGCAACCTCCACCTCCCAGGTTCAAGTGATTCTCCTGCCTCAGCCTCCCAAATAGCTAGGATTACAGGCGCCCACCACCATGCCCAGCTAATCTTTGCATTTTCAGTAGAGATGGGATTTCACCATGTTAGTCAGGCTGATCTCGAACTCCTGACCTCAGGTGATCCACCTGCCTCGGCCTCCCAAAGTGCTGGGATTACAGGTGTGAGCCACCGCGCCCGGCCTGTCCACCTTCTTAAAGCTCCCCTCCTTACAGGGTGTAAAGAGAGACCTGCTTCTTACCCCAAAGTGCTTGTACTTAATTGGACGAGAAAAAGTCAAACAGGGCCCGGACAAGGGCCTGGTGAAGGAAGTCCTGAAGCGGAAGATGGAGCTGGAGCGGATCTTGTCTGTGTCCCTCAGGTGAGCGACCGACGTACAGAGGCAGGACTGCCCCTCCCGCCTCAGCATCACCGTCTGCTATTCCAGACAGCCAGGAGGAAGGCCGGCCTGGGCTCCCCTGCTGTCAAACTCATGATGAAGAGAATGGAACGTCCCTTCTTTCCAAAGGGAAGACTTCCTAGTCTCAGGGAGTGTTGATGTGACAGGAGCCTGTGGACAGCTCCTCTAATCGAGGGAGACCCAGATCTGTAACCATAACATGTTAGAAATGAACTTGGTATATGGAGCACCTCAGAGAATAATTTCTCTTGTTATAGTGGAGCCAGGAGTTCAGAGCCGTCTCCCGCAGCCCACCTCACGCATTTCCCCATGCAGAGGGTCCTAGAAGGGAAGTTTCTTTGGAACTTCCTTAGAGAGTGCAAATTGGTCTCCATTCTCTATAGCTCTGGAGTCGTCATGAGATGCTCTCTTCGCTCCAAGTTCTCAGGCAGTGGGAAGTGGTGTTTGCTTCTGCAAGGCCCCACGCAGCACCCTGGCTTCCTTTTGGCAGAGGGGCTACTGTGTCAGTTGTCAGAGTATTTCCTCTGTCAGTGGAACCTAGCCTAGGCTCTAGTCTAGTCCCATGCTAAGAAGTCCTCCCATGCTCAGAACTCCTAGACTAGGCGTCCCCCCAGAGTCCTCCCATGCTAAGAACTTCTAGACTAGGCATCCCCCCAGAGTCCTCCCATGCTCAGAACTCCTAGACTAGGCGTCCCCCCAGAGTCCTCCCATGCTAAGAACTTCTAGACTGAGTCCCCCCAAAGTCCTCCCATGCTAAGAACTTCTGGACTAGGTTCTGCTGATAGAGGAAGTCTTCACAATCCATGAACACTACGAATGGAAGAAGGACCTCCTTGAGCCCCGTAGCTTCCTCCAGGATTGTGTCCCTGGGCCTCTGAGGCTAACACTGTTTAGTCAGGAAAAGCTTTGGGCCTTTGCATTAAAGTAGCGATGTTCAGCTCGCACGTGAACATGGAACGGGGACACCTCTCAAGCTCTTACTCCACGCAGAAGACTTAACCGCTGCACTCAGGGGAAAGCAGGGGTTTGATGCGCTCAGGCCTCTGACCTACCAAGCTGGAAATCCTAGCTCGAGTCTGATAATCCAAAGCAGATGTCCGGCTGAGTCCATTCTTGCCTGTGTCTCTGTGGTTTCTGATTCTGTCTGTTCCTGATTTCCCTGGATAAAGGGCCAGGCGGTGCAGTGAAGTGTTTAAAACATGCCAACCCAGGATGTGGTAAGGCTGCTCATCAGGTGAGTCCACAGTGTCTCCTTTTGCAGCCTCACCTCAGGAAGGTCTCAAGGCCACTGGTTTTTTGGGTTTGGTTTGGTTTGGTTTTGGTTATTTTGAAATAGTGTTTCACTCTTGTTGCCCAAGCTGGAGTGCAGTGGTACAGTCTCTCTGCTCCTTCACCTCCTGGGTTCAAGCAATTCTCCTGCCTCAGCCTCCTGAGGAGCTGGGATTACAGACATGCGCCATCATGCCGGGCTAATTTTTTGTATTTTTAGTAGAAATGGGGTTTCACTATGTTAACCAGGCTGGTCTCAAGCTCCTGACCTTAGGTGATCCTCCCGCCTTGGCCTCCCAAAGTGCTGGGATTACTGGCGTGAGCCACTACACTCCGCCCATTGGTTATTTTCTTTTATTGAGAGACAGGGTTTCACCATCTTGGCCAGGCAGGTCCTAAACTTCTGACCTAGTGATCCACCCACCTCGGCCTCCCAAAGTGTTGGGATTACAGGCGTGAGCCGCCGCGCCCGACTCCCATTGGGTTTGTTTTTGTTTTTGTTTTTTAAAAAAAGCTCTAGGTGTTGACTGGTTTTCGGATGGGCTTCCTGAACATTTTGCTCACCGGCAGGGTCCCAACCTGAGCGGGGAAGCGCCTGCTGGCCACTCTCTTCCTGGCTAGCTGGGCCCTGAGGCTGCCCTGGGAACCCAACAGGAAGCTCCTTCTTTGTCCCTGCATGGGGAACTGCCATGGCTGGACTAAGCCAGGTTGGCCAAAACGTGCTTGGCAGGCACCGTAGGTGAAAGTCAGGAATTCACAGCTCTAGGGCACGTGTAGTCGCCGTGCTGAGAGTGACTCTCGTTCTTTCTGTTATCGCCGAGGTCTGTTACAGTCCCTCAGACCCGTGGTGGAGTGCTCATGACTGGGACCATAAGTCATCGTAATTGAGCTACATTTGTGTGGGATTTTTGTTTTGTTTTTTGAGACAGAGTCTTGCTCTGTTGCCCAGGCTGGAGTGCAGTGGTGCAGTCTCCGCTCACTGCAACCTCCGCCTCCTGGGTTCAAGTGATTCTCCTGCCTCAGGCTCCTAAGTAGCTGGGATTACAGGTGTGTGCCACCATACCTGCCTAATTTTTATATTTTTAGTAGAGATGGGGTTTCGCCATGTTGGCCAGACTGGTCTCGAACTCCTGAGCTCAAGCATTCCACCTGGTTCAGCCTCCCCAAGTGCTGTGATTACGGCGTGAGCCACTGCACCCAGCCTTGAGTTACACTTGTATCAAGCACTTTGCCACTTACTGTCTCACTCATAATTCCCTGAGGGGGTTCCAAACAGGGACTTAGGGAGCTGTTCACACTCAGGTTTCTTCCTTTTATTGTTTTTCATTGGAGATAGAATGTCTCCTGGTAACACCAGCTTCTTTTTCTTCCTTTTTGGTGTTCGTCACCTGGATGGTTGCTTTCTTGTGGCTTTCCCTTTTTAGAGGATATAGTAAAATGAGGTCCTTAGCCTAAAAGTTTCTCTGAGTCTAAGGGAAAAAGAAGTGTGAGTCATTTGAGCTTGTGATGTGTGCGTATTGCAGTCCCCGCACCTCCCACTTGCCAACACGAACAATAGTGTCCCTCATTCCTTTATACTTGAGTGAGGCCAGTAATCAGAACCAAGTTAGGAAGCAGCCAGAGGGCAATATGTGCGCAGAGTCGAACCCAGAGTGGAAATCAGTTCTGGTCCCAGACTTGTGAAGGTGCGTGTGTGTTCTCAGCATACCTCAGCACTGGCGCACAGAAAGGTCCTAACGGTTGTCTCGTACTTCGGGAAAAAAGCCACAACATCTGTATGTGTTTTTAAGATGTAGTAAATGAGCTTCTTAGCCTAAAAGTTTCTGAGATTGACCAGCTGACTTGGCTGGAACAATAGCACAATATGGCCTCCTAGTTAATGACTTGTCAAGTATCCCATAAGCTTGATCTTAGCCCATCTCTAACTCTTATAACTGAGGGCAGTGCACAGTGGGCCTCAGCTCCCGCTTCAAACCATCCATTTACTAACAATTTTGAGACAAGAAGGGAAATGTGAGCACGACTAAATATTTGGTGTGAAGAATTTATTGTTTATTTCTGTAGGTGAGATAATGGTTTTGTGATTAATTTTTTTTTTTTTTTGAGGCGGAGTTTCGCTCTTGTTACCCAGGCTGGAGTGCAATGGCGCGATCTCGGCTCACCGCAACCTCCGCCTCCTGGGTTCAGGCAATTCTCCTGCCTCAGCCTCCTGAGTAGCTGGGATTACAGGCACGCGCCACCATGCCCAGCTAATTTTTGTATTTTTAGTAGAGACAGGGTTTCACCTGGTTGACCAGGATGGTCTCGATCTCGACCTCGTGATCCACCCGCCTCGGCCTCCCAAAGTGCTGGGATTACAGGCGTGAGCCACCGCGCCCGGTATGATTAATTTTATATAGAGACTTTGTCTTATAATGATACACACTAAGACATCTGAGGATAAGATAAAGGCTCAGCACAGTAGCCCATGCCTGTAATCCCAGCACTTCAGGAGACCAAGGCAGGAGGATCACTTGATCCCAGGATGTTTGGGACCCGCCTGGGCAACATAATAAGACTCCGTCTCTACAAAAATGTAAAAATTACATTTTTACACCAGGAGTGTGTGGTGTGTGCCCGTGCTCCTGGCTACTCAGGGAGCTGAGGTGGGAGGATTGCTTTAGCCCAAGAGGTCCAGGCTGCAGTGAGTTATGATCACACCACTGCACACCAGCCTGGGCCACAGAGTGAAACCCTGTCTCAAGTTAAAAAACAGCCTATTTGTTTACTTTGGTTTAAAATAACCTGGAAGTTACTTTAAAGTGGAAGCAAGAAGAGTGAGATTGTAGATCACTGTGATTATCCGTGGATTGATGATTGAAATCTGCCGACGTGGTGGTTCCTTCCACACTGTGAGACAGGTCTCACTTTGCCACCCTGGCCAGAGTGCAGTAGCACAGTCTCGGCTCGCTGCCGCCGTGACTTCCAGGTTCAAGTGACCCTCCCGTTTCAGCCTTCCGGGTAGCTACAGGCATGCGCCACCTCTCCCGGCTACATTTTGTATTTTTTGTAAAGACAGGGTTTTGCCATATTATCCAGGCCGGTCTGCAACACCTGGGCTCGTGGGATCCGCCTGCCTCAGCCTCCCAGTGTGCTAGAATTATAGGCATGAGCCACCACACCCGGGACTCCTATCCTGCTTTTTTACAATTTAGAATTTTCCATAACAAAATGTTTTTTAATTCTCTGGTAGACATTAAATTTTTAGAAGTTTTTATCTTTTCTAAGCATACTGATACATGTCTTGTTGAATTATGGTTAAAACATTTTTTGCAGTTTTCATTTATAAGAAAAAATAGGATCACAATAGGTAGTAATAGGGCCAACAGGTCAGAGAGATACTTAGAGATTGTCAAAGAGACTCTGGGATAATTTGATCAGGAAAAATCCTTATTTAAATAAAAATTAGGCTGGATGTGGTGGCTCACACCTGTAATGCCAGCACTTTGGGGAGCCAAGGGACGCAGATCACTTGAGGTCATGAGTTCATGACCAGCTTGGCTAACATGGGGAAACCCCCTCTCTACTAAAAACACAAAAAAATTAGCCGGGCACAGTGGTGCCTCCAATCCCAGCTACTTAGGAGGCTGAGGCAGGAGGATCTCTTAAGACAGGAGGCGGAGGTTGCAGTGAGCCGAGATCACACCGCTGCACTCCAGCCTCGGCAACAGAGCGAGACTCTGTCTGTCTCAAACAAACATACATTAACGTGAAACACGGATGCCCACATTTCTGCCTTCAGTGGAGACTTGGGAAGAATGTCAGGAGACCACACACCAGTACAGAGTTGAGACAGGATTGCTGAGGCTTGTGGTGGCTGCTGGCAGAAGGCCATGCATGGGTTTTTGAAGAATCCTCCCAGAGCTGCTGCTTGTTCAAGTCCTGACCTGGCCCCCCTCTTATTTGAAAAACTCAGTTCAGGAAGGGTGACCACAGGTGTAAGGCCCACGTTTTTGGCTTTGCTGTTGCAGGTACTGAGTTCTGCCCAGGTTCTTGGCTTTGCTGTTGCAGGTACTGAGTTCTGCACACGTTCTTGGCTTTGCTGTTGCAGGTACTCAGTTCTGCCCACGTTCTTGGCTTTGCTGTTGCAGGTACTCAGTTCTGCCCACGTTCTTGGCTTTGCTGTTGCAGGTACTGAGTTCTGCCCACGTTCTTGGCTTTGCTGTTGCAGGTACTCAGTTCTGCCCACGTTCTTGGCTTTGCTGTTGCAGGTACTCAGTTCTGCCCACGTTCTTGGCTTTGCTGTTGTAGGAACTGAATTCTGTGCAAGGGAAGCCCTTACTCGGGGCTCTCCGATGAAGCTTCTCATGTTTCTTCTCATCTGGTAGCCGACCACCAGAAGGATGAGACCACAGTTGTGTGGCTGCCTGTCTGGGTCAGTAGATTTTCCAGTACTTACCTCCAATTGGAAAAACAGCCCATAAGAGAGTGCTTCAGACAGAGGCCCAGCTCTCTGGCCACAACATTCTTGCCTAAATCCCTGAATCTTTCAGGCAGTAAAAACAGCCCACTTCACTCACTGCCTGTTCCGCTGACCTGAAGCGTTACTGACACCTTGACCTGCTGTGGCCTGTGGGCATCAACATCATGAGATTGAGCACCTACCTGGTGCTGAGCCCTGGTGTTAGAGGTGGGTGAGGCACAGTCACTGCCTCAGGAAGCTCCTGTCGTTCTGGAAGAGGGGACGGACAGACAGCTGAGTAAACATGTGCCTTACTACGAGTGTTCCCAGTGTGACTGAAAGGCTACTCCTAAGATAGGAGGAGAGGGGGTCTTTGCACCTGCGGGTCAGGGGAAGCTTCTCTGAGTTGGACACATCAGGGCTGAGGCCCGCACCTGCGTCCTGGCTTTCTCAGAGAAGACTCGGAAGCTGGTGCCACTGGTTTCTCTGAGCGGTAGAATTCTGGGCGAGGTTTCTTTTCTCCTTGATTCGCCTCCGTATCTTCTAGTTTACTAAAAGCAGCAACTATTTCATAATCAGGAAAGACTTATAAAAGCTTAAATAGAGGCAGGGCTATCCTTGGAAATTGCCTTTTCAGCTTTTTTTTTTTTTTTAAACTCCTTTAGGACTTTCCTTGGTGTTTTGCGACTAACATTTCTGTGAAGAAGATATATCGGTTGAGAGTAAAACAAGATTTTCTGGTGTTGTCAGCAGTACTACAGTAAGCCGCACAGACGGAGAAAGGAAACTCAGGGCAGATCCAAACCACAGACTAGGAGGAGCTCTTTGAACGCGGGGGGCAGCGTCAGACATCTGTAAGGAATTGCAGCCTGAGCATAGGAGCGAGTCAGGGGTGAAGTCCAAAGATAAGTCTGACTTTCTAGAATAAATAAACCAAAGCTTTGTTTTCAGGTCCAGGAGCACGGGCTGAGGGAGAGCAGAGTGAGCTGAAACCCTGGCCTGGATGAAGTGTGGGCCTGCCTGCTTTTTCTGTTGATGATAATGAAACTGCTAACAAATCTAAGCACATCAAACCACTCAGGGTGACTTGGGTTGAGCTCATTTAGCCCTGTTGAATAATGACCATCCTGCCAAAGTTCAGCCAGGCAACCAGGCCTGGCCAGACATGCCAAAGAGAGCTTTGAGCAAGCAACCAAAACAGGAAGGAGTTTCATTCCTCACCCCAAAGGCCAAAAAGTGGAGCCTCTTGTTCTCCTCTGGTCTGTCGCGTGCTCTCTACCTAATTCAGCCGTGTTCTTACACCTGGGCTAGGGTGCTAGGAGGCTTCGACTTTATCAATTCAAAATGACATGGAGGAGCTCTTTGAGCAGCTTTTCAGGAGTGCTTTTTGGAGTTTTGGATTGCTGCCTGTGCCTTTAAAGGAAGGAGGAGCTGTCTGTCCTCCGGACTGTAGAACCGGCATGCTGGCCCTGAGTCGCCTTCGCGTGTGCCGTGGAGTGAAGGAGATGAGAACTGTGTGTGGTTTAAACCGCCGGGTGTCAGGGTTTGTCCTTGATCCCGTCTGTCACAGGAGCGGGCAAGCATGGCTGTCAGGGGGGTGTCTGAAAACAAAGGACAATGACCGAGTGCTCCACCCAAGTGGCCGTTATTTGTCCAAAAAACGCTGTGAAGTATTCTGACTTCACATCCAGCAGAAACTCTTTGGCTGCTCTTCAGTGAGCTGGCCGTGAAAGGGCCGAGCTCCTCTCCCCGGACGCTGGCCTCTCGCTTCCAGCGAACTCCACTCACCCCCACCGCCCCACCGTGGTTCGTGCACGCTGCCATTCTCTGCCTTTCGATCTAGTTATGCTGTGGTCCTTCCTTCAACCTCTTTTTCTCCTGTGGGTTACCAAGCTCCTTTCCTGTAGGAGGACTGAAAGTGGGTAACTTGTAAACTGTAAGAATTTAACTTTTACAGTTCTAGAGAGTAGGAATTCCAAGATGAAGGTGCGGGCAGATCTGGTGTCTGGTGAGGGCCCACTCTCTTTGTCACAGATGGTGCACATGGGAGAGAGACAGAAAGGTCAAACGACCCCTCATGACTCTTCTGTAAGGTCACTAATCCCATTCATGAGGACCTCTTCCTTATAACTTAATCACCTCCTTAAGGCCACACTTAAGGTTAGCACGTTGGTGAGTAAGTTTTGGTGTCAGACCAGGGTAGAGGCTATGGCTACAGCTACTGGCTCCATCAGCTCCAGGTCACTAGTTCCCTCTCTCAGCCCAGAGAGAAGGTTCCTGACAAGCCCGGGATAGTCCACCAAGATTCTCTGCCCAAGGGAGCCCTGTGATCCCAAGAAGGGCCCACCCCCTACCTTGACCTATGAATGGGGCTGAAACAGGGGTACCACAGGAGTTTCCCTTTAAATGGGTCAGATTTTACATGGAACGAGGATCCTGGGTCAGTCCTCCATGTGGTCCCCTTGCCTCCTCATCTGACTTTGTCACAGCCCCAGTAATCCCACTGATGCGGTGACACCGGGAGCTCTGAGAGCAGAGCGGAGCTCCTGAGCTGTGCTGCAGGGCTCTGGGTACTGAAAGAACCATGCCTGTGGCACTTGGAAGGACTGCAGTGTTACCATGGTCGGTCCATTGAAGCAGGTTTGCCTACTTTGTGTCCAGTGTCAGGGAAGATGCTTGCAATCCCTAATGAAATGTCATTCTTCAAAGGTTTGTCTTTGGAATTTGGCAGTGGTACTGGAGATACTGAACTTACATATTACAGCCTTTCATCTGAGTGATCAGTCTAACAGCTAGAGAATACAAATTCTCAGTTACATACATGTTGTCACTTTCCACCAAGCCTCGCCAGGCCTGAAGATGGAACTGTCTCGTCAGCCTCCCCTGACCACCAAGCATTTCCTTGGAGCTGGGTCTGCCTCAGCGTCTCTGTGCCATCCCCCTGTAGTTCCTAACACCTGCTCCCTCCAGGCATAAATTCCTCCACGATCGAACCCTATTCAAACATGTGGTTCCCACAAAGGTGCGTTCTTTCCTTGTCCGACAGAATTCATTAGCTTGAAGGTGATGATTTTTGCTTGTTAGCTGCTTGTCCATCTGGCCTTTGCATCTCTGAACTTGGATGTGTCTGTACGTTCTAGCAGCACCTGGCTTCCAGGGTCTGCAGAGCACTGTTTGCCAGAAGGTTCTTAACACGTACCTTGAAGTGCAGGACGTTGACTCCCCCTAGGTAACAGACCTTGTAATTCTTCGACTTCAGTCTATTGCAGTAGCTACAGCCACGTCATAAATTACACTAAGCTGGAACTTAAATGTAGAGCTACTGCTTTTCAGCCACATTATATTCATAACTTTCTGGATTTGTATAATCTTAAAAAGACAAGTTGGATTTTAAAATGGATTTTTTTAAAAAATACAGACTAAATTGTCCTTAAGATCCTGATTTTTAAAATCATGCAGAAGAAATACTTTGATTATGCTTTTGTCGGGCTATAAACGTCCTTTGCAAGCAGATTTCAGCAATCTCATTATGTAATTCGTTGTTGGTTTTTGTTTTAAAGATTCTTACTTACAGAAAGAAAGGCTGTGGAAACTTAGCGCTGTCTTGAAGGACTTTTTAAATGGAAGGAAAAAAGCAATAGAGGAAACAGAAGCACAGCTTTCACCAAGTGTTTGTCCAATCTCTTTACAGTACTATGCAGGATGACATTTTTATTCTCCATGAGCAAGAATACGACAGTTTGCTTGAATCTGTCTTCAAAACTGAATTCTTAAGCCTCTTAGCAAAGCGTTACGAGGAAAAAACCCAGAAGCAACTACCTCTGAAATTCAGCAACACGTAAGTCCAGATCTGGAGCCCAGACTTCTGCGTGTAACTAAAAAGGGGCCTTGATCACACCTCTGGGATTCAGGATGGGGCTGGGGGAGGCCTTCGAGGAAGAGAGTAGGGTCTGGCTGGCCCCAGTGGAATCTCAGAACCTGCAGAAGACAGTCTGGATGGCAGTCATAGACTGTGAAAAGGTTGCTTTTGCATTTCTGTGAATTAATGACTTCATAGACTAGTGTATTTTATCATTTAGATGAAAACACCTACATGAGGCAGAGGTAGGCAGATTTTTATGTATCACCAGAAAAGGGGGGGGCGGTTTATTTAGCAGAGCAGCAGGAGTAGAATCAGGCTGGAAGCAGATGAAAGTGACAGGTGTGGGGGCTTGAATTCCCCAAAGCAATGCGTAATAAAACCTATTGGTAGGGCCTCTAGGGGCTTGAGGACTGTGGGTGGCCAATGTATTGTGTAGTGGCTCACTTTCTTTTTCTTTTCTTTTCTTTTTTTTTAAGATTTTTCTGTTGCCCAGGGTGGAGTGCAGGGGCGCGATCTCAGCTCACTGCAACTTCTGCCTCCCAGGTTCAAGCAGTTCTCCCGTCTTAGCCTCCCGAGTAGCTGGGATTACAGGTGCCTGCCACCATGCCCAGCTAATTTTTTTTGTACTTTTAGTAGAGACGGGGTTTCACCACATTGGCCAGGCTGGTCTTGAACTCCCACCAAAAGTAATCCACCCGCCTCGGCCTCCCAAAGTGCTGGGATCACAGGTGTCAGCCACCACACCTAGCCTCATTTTCATTTCTTTTGGCAACATGGTCTAATGGACCAGGTAATGGCATGCTGTTGCCCTTCTAATCTCATATTTGCTAAGTAAGAGTTGCTTACCTAGTCTGGGACATAACAGTAAGACCCCATCTCTACAAAAAATTTTTAAGAATTAACTGGGTACGGTGGCACACACCTATAGTTCCAGCTACTCAGAAGACTGAGATGGGAGGATACTTGAACCCAGGAGGCAGAGGTTGCAGTGAGCCAAGACCACCCACTGCACTCCATCCTGTGTGACAGAGCAAGACCCTGTCTGAAAAACAGAAACAAAGTTATTTAACTTTGCTTTTTAAATTTCCCCATCTGTAAAGTGCAAATGTCCTCCATCTCTTCCCAGCTACAAGAATGAGGCCAAGACAAAAGCCTTAATATCATTAATAGGCAACAACTTAACATTAGGCTTTTTCCTTCTTATGAGCTGAGAAAATATGAGTTTAAGAAAGCAAAATAAAGACCGCATGATGCAGGCATTTAGGCAATACGGAAGCAGGGGAACTGGCTGGGGAGTCGGAACTGTGGGTAAATCCTCCCTTCTGTTTGGATTTTGGTTGCTAGTATGTGTCTTTTTCCATCCCCGGGTGGGATGTGATGGTGGAAGAACAGCACTGGACTAAATGAAGCCAGGTTCTGTGCTAAGGAGTCTTTAAGCTGGCTTGTGCCTGGCATCTCTCAGTCCTTCCAGCTGTCGCTGCGTGACACAAGCACAGAACCAGGGCCAACAGCTGGAAGCACAATGACAGCACTGCAGTGTGACCTAGAAATTGTCCTTTTCCTCTGTCGCCTCAGCAGACGCCCTGGAGACCACCTGACAGAGTGGCATTGGCACATTAGCGAGGTACCTCCCTCACCACCTGGTGTCTCGTGGTACCGGGCCCCAGATCCACCTGCTTCTAGCTCAGCATCACGCAGCGACAGCGCCACCCCATGGATGCGGTGCGCATCCTCAGGGTCCTGCCCCTGGTGGAGACGGTCTGGTCTTGCCTCACGTTCACACTTGTCCAGCAGCCCTCGCTGGTGAGATCTCTGAGCAGCATTCTCACGGCTTCATTCGACCTGTTAACTCCAGTGTGCTTTTTGCAGGCTTGAACTGAAGTTGAAAAAGGAGAACTGGGGTCCCTGGAGTGCGGGGGGCTCCCGGCAAGTGCAGTTCCACCAAGGCTTTGGGGAACTGGCTGTCCTCAAACCCAGTAACAAAGTGCTTCAGGTCAGCATCGGACCCGGACTGCCCAAGAACTCCCGTAAGTGCCCCCAGGCGCCGGGTGGGGAATGGCTGCCACTCTCGGAGCTTCGTGAGCAAATGCTAAAAACATGTGCATGGATGTGGGGGCTGAGAATCAGTACACCTTCTGCTTCCTAGGGCTCAGGCTTCTTCAGAATGGAGCATTTCAAACTAAAGCAACAGCAAGGAAAATGAGCAGGTTAAAACTTTCTGAGGGATATAGTACTTACATATCAGTACACCTGGCATTACAGTATTGTACTTAAATCAAAGTTTTTAGCTTCTGGTTTCCCTGCCCTCTCTAGTAGATCTTGTCCACAATACAAACATCATCCTCTCTGCCGGCTTTAAAGAAACTGGGCCAGGCACAGTAGCTCACACCTGTACTCATGGCAGTTTGGGAGGCCAAGGCCAGACAATTGCTTGAGCCCAGGAGTTCTAGACCCGCCTGAGTAACATGGCAAAACCCTGTCTCCACAGAGAAAAAGAAATATACAAAAATTAGCCAGGCACGGTGGTGCACGCTTGTAGTCCCAGACACTCAGGAGGCTGAGGTGGAAGGATGGCTTGAGCCTGGGAGGTCAAGGCTGCCGGAAATCATGATCATGCCACTGCACTGCAGCCTGGGCAGTAGAGCAAGACCCCATCTCACTGCACTCCAGCCCGGGCGGTAGAGCAAGACCCCATCTCACTGCACTCCAGCCCAGGTGGTAGAGCAAGACCCCATCTCACTGCACTCCAGCCAGGGCAGTAGAGCAAGACCCTGTCTCACTGCACTGTAGCCCGGGCGGTAGAGCAAGACCCCGACTCACTGCACTGCAGCCCGGGTGGTAGAGCAAGATCCCGACTCACTGCACTGCAGCCCGGGCGGTAGAGCAAGACCCCGACTCACTGCACTGCAGCCCGGGCGGTAGAGCAAGATCCCGACTCACTGCACTGCAGCCCGGGCAGTAGAGCAAGACCCCGTCTCACTGCACTGCAGCCCGGGCGGTAGAGCAAGACCCTGTCTCATTTAAAAAAGGAAGAAAAAGAAAACCTCTCTCTCTCTCTCTCTCTCTCTCTCTCTCTCAGAGCAAGACCCTGTCTCATTTAAAAAAAGAAGAAAAAGAAAACCTCTCTTTCTCTCTCTCTCTCTCGGTCTCTCTCTCTCTCGGTCTCTCTCTCTCTCAGATCAAGACCCTGTCTCATTTTAAAAAGAAAAAAATAAAACACCACATACACCCATATGCATATGCCCTACCTCAAACCCCACTCTAACTCATTCTCTGGCCTTTGATTCTTTCTGTATTTATATTTGATATTTATAAACTTAGGTTTATAGAACCTAGCATAGAATAATCACATACCGTGTATGCACACACTGTGATCACACACATGAAGATGCCATATATAAAATAACTCTTTCTAGGCCGGGCACGGTGTCTCACACCTGTAACTGCAGCACTTTGGGAGGCCGAGGCAGGTGGATCACCTGAGGTCAGGAGTTCAAGACCAGCCTGACGAACATGGTGAAACCCCATCTCTACTAAATACAAAAAACTAACCAGGTGTGGTGGCATATGCTTGTAGTCCCAGCTACTTGAGAGGCTAAGTCAGGAAAATTGCCTGAACCCAGGAGACAGAGGTTGCAGTGAGCCGAGATCGTGCCATTGCACTCCAGCCTGGACAACAGGAGCGAAATTCTGTCTCAAAAATTAATTAATTAATTAACTAAATAGCTGTTTCTCAAATCCATCTGCAAAGGTATACCTTAGCATGTTCTCTAACATATTAATGCAATACCGATAAATGCAATCGTGTCTTTATGATATGTGGCATTTAGAACATGAATGCAAATGTTAAAATGTTCAATCTGTCTCTCTTGAAAGTCTGCAAAAATAGAACAGCTCTGTGAGATTATCAGTCCTTCTTTAAAAGCCACTGTCTCTAACGTTTCAAAACTGTACCTCTGAACCTGTCCTCCGGCCCTCCCACCTATAGCTCCCATTGCATCCCTCCGTCACTGCCCCTTGTCTACTGCAGCTGTCCTCCTGCAGAGCCACCTGAGAACTGGATTCTAAGTCTCTCAAAAATTTTGCATATGCATAGAACCATGAGGAGCCATAAAACCAACCAGCAGCACTGGTTTTAACTTTGTCTCGCTTGTTTATTTCAGGTCCTACCAGAAGGAACACTACCCAAAACAGGGCTTATTCCAGTGGGACTCAAAATGCCAACTACCCAATGAGAGCTGCCCCTCCTCCCCCAGGTAAGCCAGCCATGTGCTATAGTCTCAGACCGCTAAGTCGGGACCCATAACCTATAAATTATGTTTGGGAAGAAACCCATTAGCAAATCAGCACACACATTTCAGTGCCAGCTGTATAACACAGCAGCCCTACTCTAGACCTCAAAATTCAGAAAAGTAGGAGTCAGTGAGCCTGAACTGAGGCTGAGTTCGCAATCTGGATTTCATTACCTCAGAATATTACTCCCTTAAGGAAAGGCTTCTGACAAAGAGAAAGGAGTTCCTTGTCTGTGACCATCACACTGGTCAGCTTTTAAGACATAGGGTGCTGCTTTATGGAAACAGGAGTTTGTCGGGTCTAGCCCCACTACCACTACCCAGCTCTGGCCACATACCCCCACGGTAGTCCCCCTTATCCTCAGGGGATGCATTCCAAGACTGCCAGTGGGGGCTTGAAAATGCAGACATTACCAAAACTGATCTATACTTTGGCAGTTTGGTATTTCCACAAAACTAGCAGGAATTTTTTTTCCTTCCTCACAATATTACAGATAGAAGATTTGTTTTTACTCTAGGTCTTAGCAACCTCTGTATACAGGTTTTCTTTTTTTCCTTATTCGGTTGAGAACTTTCACCCTTTCACTTAAAGGAAGCACTTAATGGGTTCTCTTTGGCACATCCAAATCGCCAGCATCCTGGGGCCATTATGAATAACAAGACAGGCCGGGCACAGTGGCTCATGCCTGTAATTCCAGTACTTTGGGAGGCTGAAGTGGGCAGATCACCTGAGGCCGGGAGTTTGAGACCAGCCTGACCAACATGGAGAAACCCCGTCTCCACTAAAAATACAAAAAATAAGCCAGGTGTGGTGGCGCGTGCCTGTAATCCCAGCTACTCAGGAGGCTGAGGCAGGAGAATCACTTGAACCTGGGAGGCGGAGGTTGTGGTGAGCTGAGATTGTGCCACCGCACTCCAGCCTGGGCAACGAGAGTGAAACCCCGTCTCAAAAGAAAGGAAAAACAAGACGGCTGCTTAGTGACTGATGAGGGGTAGCACACAGCATGGCTAGGCTGGGCAAAGGGATGGTTTGTGTCTTGACGGGACAGAGCGGAATGGCACACAACCTAAACCTTAGGAATTGTTCGTTTCTGGAGCTTTGATTTCATATTTCCAGAAGAAAAAATTAAAAAGACACTTGTTTAGTCTCTGGAATCTCACAGTCGCATGGTAAGGTATGGACCCTGGCGCCCAGCAGTGAGAAACTAATTCTCATTTTTCCTGGAGTCCCCATCCTGCCTTGACCCGGCTCTGTCTCTCCTCCTTTCCTGAAGAAAATCCAAGCCCAGAGGAACTTGAGAGCAGTGCTGTCGTATCGCATTACTGCGAGTGTGCTGCTTCCAGTGGGGAACTCCAGCCAAGTCCACCTGGAAAGCCCGCTGGCCTCGGCTGGGCTGGCTAAAGGAGCCTCAGATCAAATCAGGCCAGAGTTTCTGACCTAAGTGACAATTCCTCCATCAATAAAATGAGACAATGGAACTGGGTCCATTCGACCAGCACTTCGCAAACTGTCTGTGGTGAAAGACCAGGGGCTTTAGAGGGGTTTAAAAGAAATTTCCAGTCGATCACAAACCATGTGTTTGTATGATATAATAAAAATGAATTAGTCGAAGAATGGAATTTTCAAAGCATATATAATAGCCAAAATTTCTTACAAGATTCAGCAAGCATGAAATAGACATGAAATACATCTGTCAAACTGCCGTGACCTTATCTAAATGCTTACTCTTAACTTCTGACCTTACTGTGGACAAGGGGATCTCGAGCAGCATGTGGTGCAGCCCCTGTGGGGACCCCACTTTTATCACTGGGCATGTGACATCCTGAGGACATGTCAAACTCTTAAGATGCCCGTCTCCTTTCCTTGGGACCTTAGGCAGCAAGTGGGATCCTTCTGCCCTCCCCCTGTGCCCCCCCAACCCTGTGGGAGTCCATTCAGCTCCCACTGACTGAAGGAGCAGGTTAAGATGAAGAGAAACTGTTTGCTCCAAATGTCTAGTTCTGATCTGGTCTTATGACCTGTGGGAGGAAATTGCTGGCGACATGGCTAGATGAGGAGCCACCCTCTTGAAAGCTCCACCCTGAGAAAACCGTGGTTCAAAGTAAGAATGCTACTTATTATTACTGGACAGGAAAAACCCTATTTCTGCAATAATAAAGACATGTATGTCGGAGCTGGAAGCGACCAAGCGGATTCTGGACCGATTTTATGGTTCTTTCATGAAGAACTGACACTCAGAGATCAGCTCTCTTGCTCATGATCAGTGTGGGTGTCAGAGGCAGAGCCACAACTGAACCCCTAGTCTTTCTTGTAAACGAAGCATCACCCCACTAGTACCAAAGAGTTCTCCTAATTCAGTTGGAAGAGGTTTTTGGGTGGAGTTCACCAAAGTGGGCCTTGAAGAGTCTCATTCTCTTTCTCCACTCAGCCCGGGTCTGTCAGTGGGAGAATGAATAAGGGCCTCTTGATACATAGCATGGAATGCTGATGCCTGATTCAGCCAAGACACATGGTTTGGAGCATGTCACTGTAACCCATTACTTATTGGCTAATGCGATTTTAACTAGACATCCGTGTTCAGCTGAGACAGCTTGCTCCATCCGGACTGATCCAACTGGGTGGCCACATTTCCCTTGCCTGTGTGGAGTGACCCCTCTGCTCCTGCTGTGGATGCTCCAGACTGACCCCTTGAAAATTTCCATCCAGCTGTTTAAACAACTGCCTGCCAACCCTCGAGAGTCATAACCTCATAATTTTTCTTAGGCCCAAGAAGGTGTCTCCCAGCCAGCTGTGAGCTTACCTTTTCTTACTGTGGGCTTTGAATCCTGGGAAATCTGGGGACTCTGTCGTCACCAAGCACGTGCTGAGTGTCCTCTGTGTTCTGGGCGCATCCCAGGAAGTTTGCCGCGCTTTGTTGTACGAGTTAAATACGTACAGTTTTATTTGTCAGTGAAGCCCAGGAGTTGGGGAAAGTGCACCAGCTCTGATTCTCACAATGTGTTAGCAATGACGCCTTCTGTTTTTTTCAAATGGGGAAACAGACTCAGAAGTTAAGTAAGCTGCGCTTGACTAGTACATGGAAGAAATATGGAGAGACTTTCAGCAAAGTATCCAAAAATGTAAGCCTTATTTCCTTCTCTCTTCCTCTCTCTAGGATACCATCAGAACGGGGTCATCAGAAACCAGTTTGTGCCACATCCCCATGCTCCTGGAAGCCAGAGGTCCAATCAGAAAAGCCTGTACACTTCCATGGCCCGCCCGCCCTTGCCACGGCAGCAGTCTACCGGTTCTGACCGAGTGTCACAGACACCTGAGAGCCTGGATTTCCTCAAGGTCCCAGACCAGGGAGCTGCAGGGTAAGAGTCTCACATCCTGTGGATGAGGCTGGCGAGCTCCATCTCCATTCAAAACAAGGGTGCAGAGATTCCTTTGGGCTGTCCGTACAGAATTCTGAAATTCAGTTTTCCACCTCAGTGCTGTATTCGGTGGGGGTGGGACCCGAGGCTGTGGGGCTGTGGCCGGTATTTCTAAAGGTACAGCAACATTAATGGCACACAACTCATTTCATTCTCCAGAGAGGGCTTATCTTGGAAACATCAGAAGATGGGTTCCCTCTGGCCCCCAGATACAGTTACTCTGTGACCTCTTTGTGCTTTCTTGCATGGTTGAGGAATAATGGAGCTTTTGATTTATGTCTGCGCCTGCAGTTGCAGAAATACAATAGCCTTAAGAGTCTTCAGCAACATAAAGAATCACATCCCAGCATTCTGTATAATGTTTGTTGAAGCATACAGGTCTCTGTGGTTCTACAGTGAGAGCCCTTCTGCCTTTCCAGAATATAAATAAGGAGTGGGGAAGAGAACCCAGGCTTTCTAGGCAGAGGAAGTGAAGATCCTGATACTCTGTGTAGACAGTAGAAGAGCTCTCAGTTTTAAAAGGAGGTAAAGGCATGTCCTGTGGAGTCACAGGGATGGATCTAGGACCAACTTGAAGACCAGTTAGTGAACTCTGCCAGGGGGCAGATTTTGGCTCCAGTAAAAGGAAGAACGTTACAGCAACCCAAAGACGAGTTGCCCTCACATGTAGAGTGCTTTGTCCCTGGGGGCACGCAGGCACCAGTGGATGGCGATCGCCAGGCAGGAGTGTTTAGAGCAGTGCTGTCAGATGTTGGTACAGGGGAGGGAGGCCTTTCTAGCACCGGACCCGCTGCTTACCTCTCGGAGCTTCAGTCTCCTTGTCCAAACACGGATCTAATGCCGTCAAGCTGGCAGGGTTGTTGGGAGGACTAGAAATAATGCACATAAAATACCTAGCGTGGTACTTGGCATGCAGGAGTCTACTCACTGAACTCTAGCTTGATGGTGGTGACAACCATGACAGGATGATGATGAGGACCCTGTCGCTTAATGGAGGCTGAACTGGAGACTTGGAAGGGATCTTCCATCTCTGCACAGCTCTCCGTGGTGGAGTGGCTCTGCCTGCTCCCGCCCACTGTCTCTTCTCCCCTCTCTCGGGTCCACTTCTGTTTTCCACTCTCTTCTGTCTCTAGCACAATGGAGAAGTTTCAAGTGAGGATCAGGAAGTGTGAATGCAAAAGAGACCCAGGCAGGAAGAGAAACAACAGCAGCCTCCTCTGAGTGGGCAGCCGCGCGCCCAGCAGCCTCCTCTGAGTGGGCAGCCATGCACCCACCTTTTTGCTGGTTGGTTGGTTTTTTGAGACAGTCTCGCTCTCTTGCCCAGGCTGCTATGCAGTGGCACAGTGTCAGCTCACTGCAGCCTCTTCCTCCCAGGTTCAAGTGACTCTCCTGCCTCACCCTCCTGAGTAACTGGGACTACAGGTGCGCACCACCACGCCCGGCTAATTTTTTATATTTTTAGTAGAGACAGGGTTACACCATGTTGGCCAGGATGGTCTCAACTGACCTCAAGTGATCCACCCGCCTCAGCCTCCCAAAGTGCTGGGATTACCGGCGTGAGCCACCGCGCCTGGCCCCATTTGCCTTTATGCCCTGTTATATGACATTTGTCCTGCCGTGGCAGCTTTCTTCTGAAGACCACAGAGCTCTTAGGAACTTTACCGTGCTCTCACCTAGTATTCCTTTTTCCCTGGCAAGTCTTATCTCACTTCATTTGGGCTCCTCATATGAAAGCACCTTAGTTGTTTTTTGTTTTTTTGTTTTGTTTTTTGAGACAGAGTCTCGCTCTGTCACCAGGCTGGAGTGCAGTGGTGCAATCTCAGCTCACTGCAGTCTCTGCGTCCTGGCTTTAAGCCATTCTCCTGCTTCAGCCTCTCCAATAGCTGGGACTACAGGGGTGCGCCACCAGGCCCAGCTAATTTTTTTTGTACTTTAGTAGAGATGGGGTTTCACCATGTTGGCCAGGGTGGTCTCAATCTCTTGACCTCATGATCCGCCTGCCTCCCAAATGCTGGGATTACAGGCATGAGCCACCATGTCTGGCTGAAAGCATCTTAATTTTATCACACAGACGGCCATCAGTAGAGTGAATGCCACCCTTATACAGACCCCCCACCTCTGTTTCTCTCTCCATGCGCACGTGCGTGCGTGTGTGTGTGTGTGTTTGTGTCTCCCTCTCCTTCCCTTCCACTTTCCCTCACTCTTGGAGACTTAGCTATACCCCGCCAGTGCTGATGGCCATGGTTTACCTGATTGGCTTGGTCTAAACCAGAAGTTCTCAAACTCTAGCATGCAGTAGAGTCACCAGGAAAGCTTGCTGGCACAGTTCGTGAGTTTCTGGTTCTGAGTAAGGCCTAAGAATTTGCATTTCTGCCATGTTCCCAGGTGATACTCTGATCCAGGGACCACATTTTGAAAACCAATGATCTGAAGGCACCTATGGTCTGATTGATAAAGCCAGGGAAGCCTCCATGTGAAGGTGAAGTGCAAGGGTGCTGTTGGGCTCATGGGATTGTCACTCTCTAACCCAGACCTGCACCTTTCAGCTGGGGGAGGTAACTCAGTTACAGTCCCTCCTCGGCCCAGGGCGATGCCTCCACGCAGGCAGGTGTTGAAAGCAGTCCACAGTGCGCCGCCTCTCAGCTCCGTCTGCTGCCTACTTGCTTTGGTTTGGAAGCAAAACCATCTTTCCAGCCTACTTTGCAAGTTGCAGACTTGCACATCGGCCAGCTGGGAGCATCTGTCAGCCAAAAGTAGGCAATTTAGGAACACTGTGTCTTAACCGAGGCTGCTCCCTTCCAGCCCTCTGCCATGTGGTTCCCTATTTAAATCTTATCACACCTTTGCTGCCTTCAGGCCTCAAGACTGGGTACACGTGTTGCTGTCTTGGAGGCTGGCCATGAGGCCAGAAGGAGAGGACACCTCCACACCTGTCTACCAGGCAGTAAGATGTCCTTATATGTAAAACACAGTTAGTAGGCACACTATGTCTCAGCCAGCCTCCTCTCTGTAACCGTAAATCTGCTGTGCAAACATTCCTTAGGAAACAGCACCTTGGGCAAAGGGTTGAGCTTTTTCTTAGTATTTATTTTCTAAAACTCGTAAAGGTGAAAAGTAAAAGTTTCTACTGTGGCCAGAGACTCTGGGTGTGGCATTTACGGGTCCTCATGGTTACCTGCATTTAATAGCTTCTACTATTTGCCAAGAAAACACGAACTGCATTTATTCCACGGGAAGCTGCTGAATTTCAGGGAATTTCAGGATCCCAGGTTTGTACTTTTTCCATAAACTTGAATCAAGATTCCTACATACCGAACTGTAGAAGCAGAATCGCTGTGGTCTTTATTTCCTATGTGCGCATTCTGGACTTAGCTTTCCTTCCTCTCTGTCATCCCTCAGAGCACTTTTTTTTTTTTTTTTTTGAGACGGAGTTTCGCCCTCATTACCCAGGCTGGAGTGCAATGGCAGGATCTTGGCTCACCGCAACCTCCGCCTCCTGGGTTCAGGCAATTCTCCTGCCTCAGCCTCCTGAGTAGCTGGGATTACAGGCACGCGCCACCATGCCCAGCTAATTTTTTGTATTTTTAGTAGAGACGGGGTTTCACCATGTTGACCAGGATGGTCTTGATCTCTTGACCTCGTGATCCACCTGCCTCGGCCTCCCAAAAAGTGCTGAGATTACAGGCTTGAGCCACCGCGCCCAGCCCCAGCGCACTTTTTTTTGTAATTTCTTTTGGATCCTGTTACATGGATCCAATCGAATGATGCAATCAGCACCTCAGGTTAATTCAGGCAAGTCTTTAGCAGTTTACTTTAGGTTCAGTCAGTTGAAGAGAGCATGTAGATTTCACTAAATTAATCACCTTCTCGACTGGATTCTTTACCCGTGCTGTCGTTCTCCAGAACACTGTGAGATCTGCAGTGGGAATGAGGATCTTGCCGTCGATTAGTATATAATTCAGGTGTAAGATCATTCCTGATTCTCAAGGGAATACAAGAGGCTACGCAAGAATTCTATAAACAGTTCATGCACCCACCTTTGCTCAGCTCTCACTGTCCAGCGTGCTTGGTAATTTTCCCTCCTGTAACTGAAATGTACATAATCTACCTGTAGTTCATTATTGGAAGCATTAAAACCCAGTCTGGAAACATCTGTTGACCTTTTAAATCCTGTGGTTCATTTTGTGGGAGGACAACTTTAGGAAATTTCAAGATAATCTAGAGATTCCTCCAGCTGGAAGTTGGGGAAACAGATAAATCTTGCAGGTGCTCAGTGGTAGGGCTTCTGGGCATGCAGGACCCCACAAAAGAGGGGTCAGCAGAAAAGTTTAAATGCTGCCTGTGTGTCTCTTGTCAAGATCTCCTAATTGAGTCCTATTTTCAAGGGACTTCAAATTTCCATCAAGTATCCAATAGCAATATTTCTCAACCCATAATCTACAGGAGCAGCAGCCATATCCTGGCCCAGGCAGACACGGTGCTGAGGAATTTTTGGCATCCATTTCCACATTTTCCGGTAATGTTTATAGATTCAACCTTCTGGAACACAGCATATTTGTAAGAGCCAGTGAAATAAAATGCCATTATTTTCCTTCTTGGAATTTCAAGACATAAATTTCACATCTGCAGAACAAAGAGGTGATATTTGAAAGCTTAATCCCAGCTTCCCCTGGCAGAGACTAGGCACACCCACCAGGAGGAGTGGGAGCTACAGAGAAATTCGCAGAAGGCAGCATTTACAGTGCAGGGAGCACGGGATTTGCACTTGTAAGAGCGGGGTGTGAGCCCTGGTTCGTTCATTCATTCCTTTCTCTCTTACTCATCAAATATTTACTGAGCCATGTGCCTTCTATCCCAGGCTTGTCACTTAACCTTTCTACTCCTTGGTGTCTTCACCTGTACAATAGGGATAATAATAATAGTATAATAATTTTGAAAAC